ACTGGCGGCGTCGGCTCCGCAGCGTTGATCGTGCTGCTGCAGTTGTGTCTGCAGGAGCTGCATCGTTTCCTTCAAGGCGTCGTTCTCCTCCTTCACGGTTTTGAGTTCCTCGGCGCTAGTGCAGGCGGCGGCGGCGGCTTTGGTCTGCTCCGCGTCCAGTGCTCGTTGCAGCGTCTCGATGAGGCCTTGAAGCGCCGTCAGGTCGCTCGCGTCAACTTGTTTCGTGAGTGACGCCGCGGTCCGGGCCGGTGTCTGCAGTGGCGCTGGCGACGTTCGCAGGGGAGCGGCGCTGACGGTCGTCGAGTGAACGACGTAGCCAGGGGTGGAGGGGCCCCGCTGTCGGACCCGCTCGATGACTTGGAAGCAGCGTGGACACACCGGCACCGCTGCGTTTTTGAAGTAGCCGGGCATCACCGTCGTGTTCGCCGCGCACTTCTTGCAAATGACGATGCCGCAGCGGTGGCAGTTGTACTTGGAGGAAAAGAAGCCGAACTCGTCGCCGCAGTCTTGATACTGGCAGACTTTAGTGTTCTGCGGTGCCTGCCAGCGCTCCTGCGGCACCACCCCGCTGATGGGTTGCATCGCCATTTAAGTCTAGAAGGGAGGGGGAGGGGGGAGGAACACGCGACGAAGAAAGTGACAAGTACTGAAAAACTCAAGAAAGGAAATGATGAAGACGGCAGAAGCGAAGGCGCGGTGCACCAACGCACTCGACGAAGCAGCGATATTCAAAAAAAGAAATGAGATGAAATCTGACCGGAACAGATTGATGACGGGAAACACACATACACGCACAGACGTACACAGACAAAGCACCTGCAGCAACAACAACGGCGAGATGGAGAGGGCGTATGTCCACACTGTGTGTGTGTGTGTGCGACATACAGTGTGGAACAACTCAACGAACGCACAGTTAGGCAAAACGACGGTACAGCGGAAGAAAGAGGGTGCACACTGCACTAACAAGCCAAATATGCCGTTGCACAGGACGACCAAGTCGATGAACCTCTCCTCGGGTAGCTCGTGAGCCGCAATGCTGAGGTGAATCACACACCGCTTAAAGGAGTCCCGCCTTTTCTTTTTCTTACAGTGGAGGGCCGCAGCACTTCGCTTTGCCAAGACCGATGGAGAGAGAAGATATATATATATAGACGTGTGTGTTGAGTAGTTGGCGGTAGCCTTTTTATAAGGTGCGGTGGAGTTGGCGGATTTCCGTTCCTTCTCTTGCGTCCTCCAACTTGATCAGCGGGAGTATCGCTGCGATATCCACTGGTCGCCCGCACCGTCCACTGCTCTTTTGAAGATGAGGATACACAACTATTGGAAGGGGAGGAGGGGGGGGGGGGGCGGTTGCTGCCGAGTTTACGCGTGTCCGTCGCAGGTGATTTCGTTTTAAGGGAGATTGCATGCGTGAGAGAGATAGAGAGAAAGAGAGAACCAAGGGATAACAAATGCGAAAACCGGAAGGAAACATGTGAAGAGCGGTCAGGCAAAGGTAAGGTGAAGGCGCAGACATTCCCTTCTTGCAGGACTTCGGGACTTCACCCTGCGCAGAGCCCATGTGAAACACGAAGAAAACAGAAGAGGTATTTACCCTGGGTCAGTGCGTCACGTAAACGGCAGTGGGGAATGCCACGCACTCGTGCTACACAATCTTTTCAACTTGCTTTTCTTTTCACTTTAGCAATAAGGACTGTAGCGAAAACAGCGGTATTACGTGTCGTGCGCACACACAAGGCAACGATCCAATCGACAACCACCACCACAACGCCGCCAAGAGAAAGTAGGAGCACAGCGGCGTCTCAAAGCGGCACAGTTCTTCGCCGTCCGCTTCGGCCGGCCTAATCAATGCGAATACTCTTATTATTATTCGGCGCACCACCCTTCTGTCCCCGCCAGGCCTTCCGCCCCGTCTCCGACGCCGCCTCGAGCTCCGCCAACACGGCATCGTAATTGACCATCCGCAGCTGCAGTACCTCTGACCGGTACCACAGGCTGTCTAGAAAAATGTAACCCCACAGCACCGTCAGCAGCGGCATCACTACAAAGACGGTCCACCGAGTGGTGCTGCGCAGCTGAGCGCGCAGCTCTGCTTGCTGGGCCGTCTTCAGGCTGCGCATTTGAGCTCGAATGCCCTCCAGCACGTTGCCTTCGTTCTGCACATGCTGATGTACCGACTGCCAGAGGTGGTAGCTGCGCCAGTAGCGCTGCAGCGCCGGTGGTGGTGGCGGTGGCGGTGATGCATGAACGTGTCCCGCGGCTGGCGGAGCAGCCGTAAAAGCGCCAGTGTGGGTGTTGTAGGCGGGTACAGACGTTGCCGGCGCGGCGGCAGCACCGCCTTTCACCGCAGCACCCCGGCGTGTGCGGTGGACTCCGCCGTGGTGTTGGTGTGGCGCATTGGTCCTTGTGGGGACGCCTGCGTAGCGGCCGCCGGTGAGGAGGCGCCACAGGCCGCCCCACCGACCAGTCACCTTCGATTTGTCCTTCGATGCGGTGGAGTCAACGAAGGAAGACGCCGGGATGGGGAAGGCGGTGGGGTGGCCTGCCGCAGAGAACGCGCCGTATTGCTGCTGCTGTTCGTAATGACGACGAAGCGGACGCCCGTGATGGACACCGGCGGCACTGACATCGAATTGTTGGGCAAACAACGCCTCAACCTGCTGATGGTGTGGCGCGTCGTCGACGGAGGACGCTGTTGTTGCGGCTGTCAGACTCGACCCGAACGTGCTGGTGAAGACGTGCTCTGCGTCGGCAGAGGATGAGCGAGATGCGGCGTGTCCCGGTTCGGTCGCGTACGAGCGCCGTTGGTGGAGCCGCGGGCGCGGAAGACGACTTGAGAGGCCGCTTTGGCCGCTGCTGTTGCACATCACCGCCGCTGCCTCCACCGCTGCCGCGGCACCGCGGCGCCGGATGGCGCTGCTCACCCCAGAAGATCCATACTGCACGAGGGGGAGAGACATTTTTTTTTTAATTACTAAATATTGTTTTGCTGATTTTGGCGTTGACGTGGCGGTGCGGATCTGTGTGTGTGCAGCGTCCACCTTTCGTCCCCCTTCAAACATCAGCGCAGGACGGAGAGCACGACCACGACACGGGAAACACACACACACACACACGCGTTCACAGGAAAGAAACGTGCAAAGGAACAAGCCGTGTGGGAGGAGAGATACTTCGCTGGCTTATTTTTGTGTTCCGCGAAGGAGTCGATGTGAGAGGCAGACGAAGAGCAGAAAGAGGAGGAAACGAGAAGGGAAAACGTGCCTTCGCGTGATCGCCCACATCGACTGAGTTCACTCAGGAGAAATCGAAAGGAGGGTCGTGCAACCGCTGCAGCTGCACAACAACGACAATAGTACGAAAAGAAAAGGCGGCGAGGACCCAGAAGGCTCCTGCGGACGCGCCATTAAAATAATCATCTGAAGAAGCACACAGTCCAAAGCGCCGGCACTCCATCTGCCACGTAGGACCTTTTGGAAGGATTTGTACGTACGTGATTTTTCCTCCTTGCTCTTTATTTTGGCTTTTGCTGTTGTTTTTGATTAAAAAATGAATGGAATGAAAAAGAAGACTCCACACACGGAGAAAACGAATCCCAGAGGGGACAGGGAGCTACCCACTCACGTGTCACAGCGAAGAAGAACGCGCGGAGGAGGAAACCCTCCCAATAAAAACACCCGCTTCCATGCTTCCTCTTTTGCGTCCTTTGCGAGTTTTTCTTAGTGAGCGCCGGCGTTCGTCTTTGCGTGCGAGCGGGCCGTCACGGCGATCTTCTTCACCGACGGGTGGATGGAGCGCTCGATCTTGTCGGCCTTCTTCTTGTCGTTCACGACCAGCGTGTACAGGTAGCGGCTGCAGCGCACCTTGAACTTGGTCGCGCTCGGGTTCTTCTTGACCTTCACGCACCGCGCATCCTTGCGGGAGCAGATGGCGAGGAACTCCTTCAGCGTCTTAATCTCACGCGGCATGACGGCGAGTAAAAAGGGAGTAAAAGAAACGAGTGCTGAGACGGGTGACGACGAAGACGCGCGCACGTGTGTATGCGGGGCACCTTGAAGTTGTGGTCGACGTCAGTTTTGTGCGGTGTGTGTGCGTGTGCGTGCGTAACCACCCGACGGACAGACAGACAGAACGATAGAGAGGGAGGGAGAGAACGGTAAAGGACAGCGTATGCGAGAAGCTCGGTTGCGCACGTCATCTACTCGATAAATGCGAATACACACATACATCTACTCTTCTCAACAGCGCCTCACTTTTTGAAGCTTCACACGAAGAAGGAAAACACATTTTATGTATCAACGGCGAAGGCACTCAAACAGCACCCATTGAATACGTGTTCTGCGTGTCCGTCGCGTCCACCGGGGAAGCGGAAAACCGCAGTTTCCTTCCAAAAAAAAAAGTATCTCTATTCTCCTCGTAGGTCTTAACGTTCATTTTTCTCTTGTGTTGTTGTTGTTGGTCGAGTAAATGAAAGCTGTGAACATTTTTTTTTATGTTTCTCTTTGGGTTGGCCATTCATCTCGTGTCGCGGAGAAGGAAGCGATGGGGGAGGGGACGGAGGGGGAATGCGTGCGCCCCGCTACGCAGCTGCCAATACAACACGAACACCACCACCGCCGCCACCACCAACACCAAAAACTGCCCTTTTACTTCCTTCGCTGCTCTCTCACTCCCTCTGCGCCTCAGCTGCGATTACGCTCGTCGTGCATCGGGCCGCCGCTCACCGCGTCGTCGCTCATCAGCTTGCTCCTGTTCACGCCCTTACCTGCGTAGGCTGGGATGTCCAAGAAGTCCGGATCATCGATTTGCCTCGACGGCTTCACCAGGTAGCGGTCCGCCTTCAACTTGCCGCTCTGCCGTGCCGCCTGCTCGCTCGCCAGATCCAATCGTCTACATTCTTCCTCGTCCTGCCGCGATAAGTACACGAGCAGGCGGTTGTAGCCGTAGAACAGCGCCAGCAGGCCGACGCCGATCGCAAAAGGCTTGCGGAAGTCCTCGTACATCATCAGGAGAAGGCCGCCCAGCTGCAGGTTGCCGGCGGCGTCGTAGAGGATGCGGCGACGTCGCTCCTGCTCAATGCGATCGCGCTCTTTGCCGCCGCTGAAGCGCGTGTTGCCGACGGCGCGGCGGACGGTGCGGCGGAGCATGCCTCCTGCTACTTGACAAACCTACAAATAAATGATGATCGATCAACTTGTGGATACGGTTTTTGGAAAAGGAAAACCAAAAGACCCTGAAAGCGTCCACCAAAGAAGACGAGTAGTGAGAAGGTGAGCCAGGATACCACACCTGCGGTTGTGTGGATACGCATTTGCGTGTGGGAAGCAATGAGGAAGATCAGCAGGACCGAGAATAGAACGAGGAAACCAAAGAAAGCAAAGCTCAAGACTTCGGTACTGTAATAGTACTTCGACACACGTCGCCGCTTGAGAACACGCACACACACTCACACACGCACGCACGGAGAAAATAAATACATAGCAGTCGATGAATAAACACTTCTTTCAATCGGTGCTCTCGAATTGTGTTGTCAACGAACTCTTCAGCTCAGCGCGAGTGCAGAAGAGAGACTCTGCGTGGCCGCTGCAGTGGAGGCGGCGGAAGCTGTAGACGGAGCCCCCCCTCCCTTCCGCGAAATACACTACGACCGCTTCTCATGATAGAAGACAAGCCGATAGGGAAACGCAGGAGCATCAATACACCGCTTCTTCAGGGGGAGGTGCCTCCCTTCTCCTTTCCTCTTTGAACGGCTCGTCAACATAGCAATATTTACAACAGTAGCAATAGCATTCTTTTTCTTTAAAATACTTTTGGAGATTTACTGCAGACGCAAAGCGTCGAGGGCGTGAAGTTCCCACCGGCAAAAAAGGCAGAGAAGATTGAAGGTCAGCAAAGCAAGAGCAGCCGTAAAGACTTCTCGGCGCGGGTACTCACGGCAGCGACGGAGAAAAAGGTTATTTTTTAAAAGACAAACCATCAAACAAACAAGAGAGGGAATAGATGAGGGAAGCGAAGGCGGACAAAGGCAGAAGACGACCAACGAGAAGAATCGGAGCGAACTCAGAAGTGAGAACAGTGAAAATAACAGCAGCAAAGACAAAAGGACAGCACTGCGCTTCACAACGACGCATGGAAACACGCCGATCGATCGTTTCGTCAGCACGCATGTTGCGCGGGTGCGTGCTGCACGCCATGGCATTGCAATCTCCATTCATACTAAGAACGGGTTCTGAAAACAAGAAAAGAAAAGAACTCGACGACGAGACAAAAACAAAACCAAAGAAAATCGTTTCCCTCGCTCTACTTCGATTCAAGCGTTACTTCTTACGGAAAGGTGAAGACAGCAGCAAGAAAGAAAATGTTTTCAAGAAAAAAAAAGGCAAGTACTCGCTGCTCGTAGTCGACGAACACAAATCTCACCTTCCCGCACACGCGTGTCGGCGGCTGCCAGCCACGTCTCTCTTCTGCTTTCTCCTTTCTCTACCATTAGAAGATCTGGTGATGTTCTTCGTTTTCCATTTCCGGCTCTAACGAGGAGAGAAACGGAGCAGGTGCGTGTTCTCTGGCTTCTTCCACTCTCTCCTCCTCCTCCACCTCAAGGGAAAAAATACCTTACAGAGCAGCATTCGACTCGTCGCACATTACAGAAATACAAGAGATTCCCTTTCTTCTTCGTTTCCTTTTTTAAGGGGAGGGGGGGGGGGTAGGGAGGGCACACAACACGGTTGACCGTATTACGTCTATTTCTTTTTTAATCAACAACCCTCCTCACCCACGCGCAGCGAGCACTGGCAAACCGTATTAAAAACCGATAAGATGAAGTGAAGTCATACTGCACTGTCATCGCATCCTCGTTGTATTCCGCCATCATTGAAGCTCGCGTGCGATGCGCAGCTCCACATGAGGAGCAGACGCAGAAGAATGGCAAGAAGAGGACGTAAAGGCGACGCTTGCCCACAGACGGAAAGACAACGAAAACTGGGAAAAAGGAAAGGACTCAGGCATCAAAGGGGAAATATATATATATATGTATTCATAATCACAAGCATAACAGCTTTATATTCTGCACCAGTAGCGCCGCGGCCAAACGTGTTCGCCTCGGCCTACACACATCCCTTTTCCTTTCTTTCCCTTTTTTCAAATTACTGTTTTGTTCGTTGTGCGGATGGGGGTGTATGCTCTTCTGCCATTTGAACATGGAAAGCGCGGCCCAGAGAAGGAAGAAGAGGAAAAAGAAAAAACACACACGAGAGGGAGAACAAAACAATCTTAAAAAAACATGTGTACCGTTACATGAGAAAACCGATCGCCGTATCGTGCACGGCTCACGGTTGTGTTACATCAGCAGGAAAAATTATAGTCATCACACACGCACAGAGGTGGGAGTCTATAACCGTCAAAAAAAAAAAAGAAAGGCGTTCTCACGGGAAATTCCCTCAATCGGTTTAGTCGCTTTCTCGTATATGTATATATATATTATTTTCAAAGCCACGCGATGTGCGCGTGCACTTCTTAATTAAAGAAAATATATATATATATATATATATGAAATGACGAAAGAGCGGAGGACGTGTGGAGGTGAACGGTGGGCCGCCAACGGAGGAAGAGAGAGAGAGGGGCAAGCACCGCGAGTTGATTGCAGCTTCTTCGCTCCCTCGGCGTGCGGCGCGACGGCGGAAGAGGGGAGAGGTGGCAGCACGAGACCAAAGAGGGAAGAAGACGCAAAAGGGAAGAAAAACAAACTTTAAGAAAAAACAAATCTCTTGGCAAAGATGCCGGCGTGTCTGTCTGTTCAGGGCGCGTACGTGCGTGTGCGTGCGAGTGTGTGTGCGTGTTAGGTCCGGGTCTAACTACTCTCTCTCTCCTCCGCTCCGCTCGTCTCTCTGCGGTGAGAGGAATGAAGGGAAAGAAAAGAAATCAAAAAAGGAAAAGAAGACAATGAGAGGCGAGGGGTCAGGACGTACTTCCTCGCTCGCGTGTTCCCTTTAAACATCGCTTCCTCGAAGGCCGCACGTTCGCATCGATGGGCTGCGCGAGCCCCGCCGCTGTGAAACGCACCCACCAGAGAAGAAAAATAAAAAAACCAACAGAAAACGATTTAATTACATTACACCAACTTAAGCAAATGAAAGAAAAAGAAAAACAAGAGAAGGATTAAATCAAAACGTGAGACGAGGGCGCGCAGCAGGTCAGACGGAATACAAAGAACCGTCCGAGGTAATTTTTTTGTTTTCTTTTCTGCAGGAGAGAACGCCAAGAGAAAACCAAAATGCTCCCTCCTCTCGTTAATACTAACAGTGAAAAACAAGAAAAAAGCCAAAGGAGAAGGAAGACGACCGGAGATACTTAGTCGACGAGGAAGAATAGCGATGCAAAAGAGGAAGAAAAAGAAAAAGAAATGTTTGAGGGTTGTGCATGACAGAAAAAATGCGTCCTCCAAGCAACGGATTTGCGCCGACACGCCGGGACCACAAGCATTAAAGAAGGGACAAAAGGTGTATGTTTTCTTTCTTATATCCAGCGCAAAAGAAAGAGTAAGACAATCAGCACAGGCGTTGTCAGACATCAGGCCAGTTGAGACCGACAAGGACTAATACTATTACGGCTTAAACTTCGCTGTCAGCCACATTTGTAATGAGAAGAAAACACGTTGGAGTTTACAGGAGCATCCCAGAAAAGAGAAGAAAACAACGAACAACAAAGCGACATATATATACTTCCTTAATAGTAATAATAATTATTGTTAATAAAACGAGAGGTGAGGAGAGGAGGATGTATCTGCAGAGGTGTGATGGTAACGCACAGGAAGCGCGTCGTGTGTGCGGGCAGCGCCGGCCCATCGATTTCGTGTAGCCTGCCGATTTGCTTTCTTCTCTGCTAATTTATTTTTGTTTCTCTTCCCTTTCCGCTCTCTCCCTCTCTCTCTCTCACCACCTGAGTGTGTGTGTGGGTGGGCGGATCCTTCCTACTCCTTCGCAAAGAGCTCCGCAATCTCCTTCTTGTACCTCTCGTCGATGACGCTGCGCTTCAGCTTCATGGCGGCCGTCAACGCGCCGTTCTCCGGCGTCCACTCGTCCGTCACCAGCTTCAGGTTCTGCACAATCTCAAACGAGCTGCGGTGCGCATCGCGGCCCGTCTTCTGGAAGCTCTGCAGCACCGCCTTCTGGAATGCTTTGTCCTTCAGCACCTCCGGGAACGAGCCGGACAGCTTGTTCTTCTCCACGAAGGCCTTGACGTGCTTCTCGCTTGTCACGGCGAGCATCGCGATGTAGCTGCGGTGGGGGTGCACGAGCACACAGACGCAGTTCAGCATGGCGAGTTCGTTGGTGCCGTAGATGGATTCCAGCGTTTCGAGGGCGATGTATTCCCCCACCGCGTTCTTCGCCAGCGCCTTCACGCGACCAACAACGCGCACGGCACCGCAGGCCTCGACGGCCACGACGTCGCCCGTGTGGAACCAACCCTCGTCGTCCAGCGCCTCCTTCGTGAGCTCCGGCTGCTTGTAGTAACCCTTGAAGACAAACGGGCCTCGGATGAGCACCTCGCCGCGCGGCTCGGGCTTGTCGGTGTGCTTGTAGACGTCCGTGTCCAGCAGCTGGATCTCCTCGGTCTTGAGAATCTGACCGGCCGAGTCGTAGTCGAGGTTTCCTGTGCGCTGGATGCCGGCCACGCACACCGTCTCCGTCATGCCCCAGCCTTGGACCACCATGCCGAACACCACATTGATGAACTCCTGGGTGGCGGCGGAGAGCGGACCACCGCCGCTCATCATCACGTACACGTGACCGCCCATCACGCTGCGCGCCATCGCAAACACCTTGTCGTTGTAGAAGGGCGTGTCGCGGCCCTCTTTGAGAGCCTTGAGGCGAGCCGCGTAGGCTTGATCGAAGAGCTTACGCTTCAGCGTACCGGGCTTCGGCAGCTTCTCCTCCACCGCCTTCTTCATGTTGTCGAACACGCGCGGCACGGCGGCAAAGACGAGGGGCTTGTACTCGGACAGATCGCCGTGCGGCTTCGCGTGCGTGTCCATCAGGGTCCGCGGGCTGCCGTAGCCGATGATAACACCCCGCCTCATCAACACCGACGTCACCACGAACTCCATGATGTGCGCCAGCGGTAGGTAGGAGCAGTACCACTCCTGTTCTTTCATTTCGCCGATGATATCCTGAATGCGCTCCGCGATGGTCATCACACCGCAGTAGAGGCTGCCGTGGGTGTGCATGACGCCCTTTGGGTTGCCGGTCGTACCGGAGGTGTACATGATCAGCGCCAGCTCATCGCGGTCCTCTCCGCGGGGAATGTGGTAGCTGGCCGTGCTACTCTGCCCCTTCAACATCACATCGCCCCACGCGTAAAACTCGAAGTCACCGGGGTCCACGTCCCCGGGCAGCTCGTCCAGGTAGATGATCTTCGTGTGCGGCTCCGCGCCGATCGTCTTGAGCATCGCCTGCACGCTCTTCACCTTGGACCCTCGGCAGATAATCGCGTGGCACTGCGTCTCGTTCAGCGCGTACTGCAGCGCCTCCTCACCCAAGTTGGCGTAGACGGTCGAGACGACGATGCCCTGCGACCAGCAGCTGTACAGCGAGTTCAACCACTGCCAGCGGGTTTCCTCGTAGATGGATAGGATGTTGCCCTTCTGCACGCCAATCTCGCGCAGTCCTTTGCCGAAGTTCACGATGTTCTGCCAGAGAAGCTCGTAGCTCATCGTCTGGTGCTTTGTTTGGAAGACGTACGTCTCGAACATCTTCTTCCGGCCATCCTCGGCCACCTCCTCGTGCTTCTCGATGTGCGACAGCGTGCGATAGGCCAGCGCCGTCTTCTTGCCACGCTCGCGACATATATCCTCGACGGTGGACAGACAGGAGCCGTCCTCGTACCAGGCCGTGCGCAGGCGCTTGAATTCCTCATCACTTGTCTTAGACATGCGATAAATGGGCGAGCGGTCCGCCTTCTCTGTTCCCTTCACGGGGATGCCCTGGCGTCCGTAGGACATGTAATCGAGGTAGGCCGGGAAGTCGACCTCATTGCGGCCGTTCTGCCGCTCAAAGTACCACGAAACTGCTTGTCCCATTGCTTTGATGCAATCAATTCTTTATCTTCTCTCTCTCTGTGTGTATGTGTGTGTGTATATATATTAAAACACGCTTATAGATAGGCGAGAGAACGCACCGTGAGCTGGAGGCGCAAATCAAAATGAAGGGTGAAACACGGTACAGAGGAACCACGCGAAACGGGGCAGCAACCAGAGAGGTATAATGGTGATGCGAAGCCGCGAAAGGGAAACGCACAAATAGAAAAAGTAGAGCAAAGCAAAGCAATCAAAAGATCAAGCGAGACGGTGTGTGTGTGTGCGTGTGTGGTCGGCACGACGTGTGTAACTCCTCCGTGCACCGGCGTATTATAACTGGCGAGAGCGTGTGAAGGGGCGAGAGAGAGGTGTCGACGACTCGTGTTGGTTGGTACAAGCCTCACAGAGAGGGTTTTCGCTGACGCAGAGAGTAAAATGAGTGAAAATACGCTTGCAATAATGAGAGGGGAAAAGAGAAAAGAAAGACCAACAACGGGTACAACTAGATAAAGAAAAAGACGCTGGCAAGACAGAGATGAAGGGGAAGGTGGAGTGCGGCTCAGAGGTAGAGCACAAGGAGGTAACTGAGCTGAACTCCTTCTTCCTTTTAATGCTGTTGATTCTTTAAGAAAAACAAATCTCTTTGGAGATGTCGAGGGTGAGTATCTTCGCGGTGTGGGAGTGCGCGCTTTAGGAACTGTGTTAGATTTCTTGGCTACGTGGACGTGCGAAAACGCAGGTTATTGTTAAATTCTATGTTCATATATTTATGTATGTTGAACGATGCAGGTAGAGGCGAGTTGGAAAAAAGGAGGCGGAGCGAAGTACGATGGTGATGGTGATGATGACAGCGAAGCGGGTTCTTCAATTTGAGATCTTAGGCGCACAGCAGCCTTTTCTGTTTCACAACTAACGGACTCACGCGAACTCTCTCTCTCTCTCTCGCGATATATATATATATATATGTAAGCACTTTGGAATCCAGTGAGAAATAAAAGAAACAGTTGCTCCTCTGCACCGCTGCCTCCTTTCCTTATTTGAAAACAGCGGAGATGACCAAAGCCCCGCCGCTGCGTGCTCTTGCCCCTCCAACAACCACATCAGCCGCAATGGCGTGCTCTTCTCCTCATTGTTTATTTCAGACTTGTTTGGCGCGCTTGGTGCGCTTTGCTGATGGCTGGTTTATGGCCCCACTCACCTCCAATGTGATCCCCGACGTGTGCCTGTGTGTGGTGAGCCCCGAGTACAGAAAGACACGCACACCAGCTGCCTCGCAACAACACCCACACCCAAATGCCGGCACGTTGCACAAACACACACACACACACACACACACACAGGAGTTATATAAGAAATCATCATCCACATCATCATCCACAGCACGCCGCACCGTCAATCAGGTGTCATGCCTGGGTACATGTTGATGTGTGGCCCAATGAAGCGCCCTGCGCGGTTCCACGTCGGCGGAATCCAGAAGATGCGCCGGCCTTGCAAAACTGTGTGTGGAGAGAAAATCGTTCCACGGCGACGGCGCTCCAGCTGCTGCTGACCCGCCCGCGAAAAGAACTTCAGCCGCGGCTCCAACGCGAGACGCTCCTCAAACTGAAAGAGCGGTGGAAACCCCCACGGCGTCATGGCTTCACTACGCTCGACGATGCGCTGGTACAGCTCGAAGTAGGCCGACATGGGCCGCCGCGTAAGGCCCATGTCGCGCATTACGTCCGCCGCCGCGGCAATGCCAGCGAGACGCGTCGCCGCGCCCGTCTCCAGCTGCCTCGCGGCGATCGCGCGATAGGCAGGACTGCGTACGGCAGACTCGTAAAAGCGAAATGCCGTTCGCTGCGTCATGTCTCCGTTTGCGACGGCCTCCGCGAGCGCCTTCAGGTGGTTGTAGATGAGCCGCGACCGCACATCGCCGGGGTTCAACACCGCCATCGCGGTGTGGCACAGCCAGATGAACATGTCGTCGTTCTCCGACAGCTTGTCGTAGATCTTCTTAAAGCGGCGGCCCGAGATGAGTTGATCGTAGGAAGCGCCTTGGATGAATTCAATCAGCGCCGCGAACTCCTCGTCGCCGCGGTTCGCGAGATCCGCACGCGAGCGCTGACCTTCTAAGCGCTTTGGGATGTCCTGCACCTCGCGCATCGCCTCCCCGCCGGAAGAGAAGCGGGCTTTCTGCTTCTCCTTCAGCGGATCCGTGGTGAAGGAGGCTTTGATGAAGTGCGCGGGGTAGCCAGGTGTGGCGTGGATCGGCACAATCACCCGTCGCTTCGCCGCGAACATGGACTTATCCAGCAGCACGCCGCATGTACGCATCATTGCTGCGTGCTGAGAGGGCGAGAAGGGGGAAGTGTAAGAAAATAAAAGGAAACCTACAGAAATGTATTTTGCTTTACGGCTGCGTGCAGCGGCACCGTGCGAAGCCACCCCTCCAACAGGCAGACAACAGCAATAATAAAAGGGAGGTGGTGCAGCTGTGCCGTGACGCTCTCCTTCTGCTTCGCCGTCGCGTACTTTACTGCTTCACGGCAGAGAAGATGCGTGAGCCCGCACACAGACATACACACATACACCAGCAACAGCGTGAGAAGAGGAGAAGAGAAGGGAAGCATGCCGTACACCTGCTCGAGTACGCGCAGTCATTGCAGTCATTGCACACATTATCTTCTTTCGTCGAAGGAGTTGCGCCACAGCGTCCCTCCGTCGAGAACAGTCTTGTTCATGTACTCTAGCAGCCTCTACTTAGCTCGGTCAGCGCAGTCACTCTACATCACGAAAGTGCCGCGTTGAGATCCCCCGCCCCCTCTTCTCATGGAGCAACGTGATGGGTGCAGCGGCAAAGCCACAAACAACAAGAACAACAGTGAGGCGACTCCCTGCAAGTGACACCACACATCAGCGGCTTCGCCTCCGTTATGTGCTGTTCCTCACCGAAGGGCAATGCCGCCTTCGAAGATTTCTATTTTCCTTCTTTTCATGTGTGTGCGATGCCCAACGCAGCGCGCCTCCTCCGCCCGACAGCACAGTGAGACCACAAACGACATCAACAAGGCCACCACCTCTCCATCCCATTACGAGTTAAATCAACAGCTACAGAAATACAAATGCGTATATTGATCGAGGAACTGCGACATCAGTGTGTGTCTATGTGTACGCCTGTGTTGGTGTGTTGGTGTGGGAGTGAGGGAGTGCTAGCTGCGTGCCTGTCCTATCCCGGCTGGCGCGTCGGCCGGCTCATCCTCCACCAACAAGTCCTCCGAAAACACCGGCACCACCTCCTCAATACGCTTCACCAGCTCCGCCAGGTTCATGTTCTGCGTCTGCGTGAAGGTCGGGATCGTCTCCTCGTCCTGGTGTTCGATCACCTCGTTGATGAAGGCGCGGCAGGAGTCGAACCACGGGTGCTTCAGCGCGTCGTCCGCGCTAGGCCGCTTCGCCGGATCAAACTGTAGAAGCTGCTCTGCCAGCTGCACCGCGAGCGGCGGCAGCGCGCTACCGGGGGTGTGGTGGAGAATGGGCGCGGTGGACAGCAAATGCACGAGCGTCGACGCGCACGGACGCCGCTCGATGTACGCCAGCGCGTAGTTCTTCGCGTTCTGGCTCGCCCGGCCGTAGCTGTGGCTTTCATCAAACACCTCCTTCGAGGGCGTCCCCACCAGGTGGAAGATGAGCTGAAGCTGGTTGGCGGAGTCGTTCGACTTGCCGGGGAAGAGGTGTCGCCGGAGAAGCAGCTCACCTAGAATGACCCCCACACTCCACACATCGCTCGCGTAGCTGTACGCCGCATCGAGGATAATCTCCGGCGCACGGTACCACTGCGTCACGACCCCGAAGCTGAGCTGCTCATCGGGGTCGAAGAAGCGGCTGAGCCCGAAGTCGCAGAGGAACACCTGCGAGTTGTAGTGGATCAAGATGTTTCGAGTGCTGACGTCGCGGTGCAGGACGTTGCAGCGGTGCAGCGCCCGCAGCGCTAACAGGAGCTGACACGTGATGTACCGCACGACGCTCTCGTCCAGCGTGATGGCGCCGTTCTTGATCACCGACGACAAGTCCGACGGGATGTAATCCATCGCGACGTAGACGTCCTTCTCCTCGCTCTTGGGCCGGAAGAAGAGGCGGCAGCCCACCACCTGCTCACAGAACTGAAGGTTCTGCAGAATTTCAATCTCCCGCAGCACACGCCGGGCGGTGTCCTCGCTGCGTGAGTAGTGCGGGATCTTCTTGATGGCTAGTTGATCCTCGCAGAACACGGCCTTGCAGACCGCGCCGTACGCGCCCTGGCCGATGATCGACTCCACCTCGAAGGCGTCCGGCACGTCGAAGATGAGCGTGTTGGAGTCTTGCATGATGGGCAGCGGTTCCTGACGTTTATCGCTTCTTACTAGTCTTTTTTTTTTAATTTGCTTGCTGTAGTTAAAAATAGAGAAATATATATACGCTTTAAGAAGGGAGAAATACCGGCCGGTAAATCAAAGAGCAAACGAAGAGGAGGGTGTGAACAAACCTGACAACAGCTTCCACAAGAGATCCGCACACAGACACACGCAAATCCGTAGAGGAGCGCAACTCAAAAAGGAGGCCACCACGGGTAATGCCAGTAGGAATAACAATAAGACGTATGATCGCACCTCCCGCGACGAGCAACGCAATGATGAAACCAACAACAAAAAGTGAATAATAATAATAACAAGTAATAATAAGGCTTATCAATATATATAGGTAAATGGATACACACCGCACGCAAGAGGTACGCGTGTGTGTGTGGGGAGGGGGCGGTGTATGCGGTTACGGTGTTAAGTCCGCCTGCTCCGCAACAGAGAAGAGATGAGACGCACAAGGTGCTTCTCCTCCTGAGCCGGGTTTGGTGTGTTTCTCGATGTTCTGGGTCGCTGATGTGCGACAGCGATAAGCACACGGAAGTACGGAGGAAGAGCGAAGAGAGAAAGAGAGAAAAGCGTTGGATGAGCAGAGGAGAGCATCGCTCGGGGTAGCACCACGACATCTGCGTTGGAGCGTCGCCGCGCTGTGCATGCACGTGAAGTATGCAGAGCTCTTCATGAGCTGAGAAGTACCTTCTTTTCGCTGTTGTTGTCCACACACTTGAGTTCGCATCTCGCGTAGCGCAACACGTCGAGGCATGCCTCACGCCGTGCCTGGCCACGCAACCCCGTGAACAGTTCTGGTCCTTCCTGCTTGCCACTTTTGGTTGTGCGGGGCATCGAATGGGTGGAGGCGAACTTCATACTTCTTCTAGTCTTTCTTTTCATTTTATGCTGCTCCTTCCCATTACCCTCTTACATCCGTTAGAGTGTCGGGGTTGGTTTTAACAACAAGGAGAAAAAACAAATTAGCAAACACATGCAAGCACATACAAACACATTCACAAGCCTTGAGGAGTGCGTGCCACGTTGAACGCACACACACACACACACACACTCAGGTGTCTCTGCCTTCGCACTCTGGGGCCACCAGATGCGTCCATTCACGTCCACACGCACAACGGGCTTCCGTGCAGATCCCCCCAAAAAACCGATAAGCGACTGATACAATACAGTAATGCAGCAGTCACCGCCTTTTCCCCCTTTCGAAGCCGTTCGGGGAGTCTTCTCGCACGTTTTATGCGCGCGCGGTAATAATCGCGGCGGACGTCGCTGAAGACTGCAGGAGAGCGACCAAGAGAAGACGCCGATCGCACCAGTAACAGAAAACCATGCATGCGGCACTCCCTCACGCACTCAACCACACAACGGAATGTAATAATAATAATACTAAAGAAGGACAGCATGTAAACCATTCTTTTCTCCTTTGTGAATATTAGAAACAATAATAATAAAGAAGAAAGCACGAAAAATATGCTTGAAAAGCGACGTCCGTTGTAATCCACCTCATTTTGTTTTCTTGTTTCTTTAAAGTGGAGGGAGTCGCACGCTGGCTGAAAGAAGATATACACACGCACACACACACCAAAGCTATAATATATAATGACGGAGTCCGATACAAAACAAATGCCTATCGAAATAGGGGAGGAAACGACACGGCGGCATTTCACTGTTTAGTAGAGAGGAAAATAAAAGGCAGGTAAGATGGAGAAGAAAACGAATTCGTAAAAGAAAAAGAAAAACAACAGTACAGTAATCAACGCCTACAGGGTGTACACGTCCGGCAGCTGGTGCGGGTACGAGATGACCGGCGTCACGTCGAAGTTCTCCTTGATCGAACGTGCCGATACAAAGCGCGTCACGAACTGCCCGGCACCTGGTTTGTCGTTCGACCCACTCAGCCGCGAGCCGCCAAACGGCTGTTGCCCCACCACGGCGCTCGTGCACTTGTCGTTGACGTAGTAGTTGCCCGCGGCGTAGCGCAGATGCCCGTCCGCCTCGCGCAGCGCCGCGCGATCGCGTGCAAAGACGGCGCCGGTGAGGCCGTACTTGGTGGTCGTGTCCACCAGCTCGCACACGTCCTTCCAATAGCCCGGCTTGCTGTCGTCGTACACGTGGGCTGTCAGCACCGGACCGAAGATCTCCTCCCGCATCAGCTGCGCGCGTGGGTCCTTCGTCTCGACAATCGTCGGCTCAATAAAGTAGCCCTTCGACTTGTCGCAGCGACCACCCGCGACGACGGTGTAGTTGTCGCTCTCCGCCTTCGCCACGTCGATGTATTTCTTAATCTTGTTGAAGGACGTCTCGTCGATGACGGCGCACATGAAGTTCTGGAAGTCGTCCGGCTGGCCCATCTTGAGCTGCTTCTGCCCCTTCAGGAGCAGGGCCTTCAGCTCCGCCCAGCAGCTCTTCGGCACATAGATGCGTGAGCAGGCGCTGCACTTCTGGCCCTGGTACTCAAAGGCGGCGCGAATGGTGCCGGCGGCGACGTAGGTCAGCTCTGCCGAAGGGTGGATCAGATGAAAGTCTTTTCCCCCCGTCTCGCCGGAGATGCGCGGGAAGTTGCGATAGTTCTCGAGGCGGCCGTAGATGTTCTTGTTGATCTCCGTAAACACACGCGTCGAGCCGGTGAAGACGAGCGCGGCGAGGCGCGGGTCTGCGTTGACGGCGCTGTCCATGACGGACGGCTCGCACGGCACGAAGTTGATCACACCGGCCGGCAGTCCCGCCTCCTCAAAGATCTTAAACATTAAGAAGTTCGACGCAACCGCCGTCGGGCTCGGCTTCCAGACCACCGTGTTGCCCATCAGCGCCGGCGTCCCCGCCAAGTTCGCGGCAATCGCGGTGAAGTTGAAGGGCGTGATGGCCGAGACGAAGCCCTCCAGCGGCCGGTAGTCCGTTGTGTTCCACACCCCGCTGTTCGCCACCGAGCGAGGCTGCTGCGCGTACAGCTCTTCCGCGAAGTGGATGTTCCACCGAATAAAATCACACGCCTCCGCGATGCAGTCGATCTCCGCCTGCCACGGGTTCTTGCTCTGTCCCAGCATCGTGACGGCGCGCATCTCGTGCCGGTACTTGGTCGAGAGCAGGTGCGCTGCCTTGTAGAAGATGGCGGCGCGGTCCCGGAAGGGCACCCGACTCCACTCCTTCGCCGCCGTCATCGCCGCCTCCACCGCCTTCGTCGCCAGCTCCGGCGTTGCGTTGTACGCCTTCGCGATCTGCACCTGGTGATCGGACGGCATGACTCCCTTGATCACGCTGGAGGTGGTGTACGGCTTGCCGCCGATCACAATCGGGCAGTCGCGGACTTCGTGGCGAGCGGCTTTGCAGGCGGCCAGCACGCCTTTCGCGGAGGCGGAGCCGGGCTCGAAGCTGTCCATCGGCTCATTCAACACCGGTGGGCACTTCACCGCGGCGAAGGCGTAGCGCAGTGTGCGGCGCAGCATCGCTTTCTTGCTTGGTTGTTTCTCGTTGGTTGATGCTAGTTTTGTATTGTATTTGTAAAAGAAGGTTCAAAACGTTTCTGTTCGGTTTACTGAAAGCGATAGGAGGAAGTGAGAATGCGTAGCGCGAAGCTAAGAGCCTTTCTTCCTTTCTTTCTTCTTTAATTGGTGACTGTTGGAAGTTCCTGTTCGCGTGCGTGCGCATACACGTATGTTCTTGTTGGTTGTTGTTGTTGCACAGAAGGACACGGGGGAATGGTGGGGCGTTGACTCACAGAGCGACGTTAGTTATCGCTCCATTTTATGACATGGCAACGCAGTGTTGAGAGGGACGCGGCAGCACGTCGCCTGCAGAGTTGTGCCTGCGTCTCCGTTGGGCAGACGAAGCACGCAGGCCTCCGATTCGCTTCCGTACAATAATATTCATTATAAACATCTACGTGTTTTAACGCTTATGAAAAAGGTCTCTTTCCTCTCGTCTCTTCTCCACGATGTCCGCAGCGACAACCCAAAGCACCGCTGGCGAGGCGACGCAACGGAATAACAGCAACAACAGTAGTAGTCCTTCCGCCGGTGCAACGAAGACTGACCACCGAACCGGTCAGCGCGCTTCTAGCCGGCTTCTACGCGCCTTCGCGGAGGGGAAAGATCTGTATTCCTCGTGTGGCGGAGTTCGGTGGAAGAGAAAACAAACAATGTAACAACAACGGCTAAAATAGAAGAAGAACAACAGTAGTCAACGAGATAAATCAGATGGCCTCACACGCGACCACCACCACCACAGGAGGAACGATCTGCATGGGTGACACACACACAAGAAGTAAGAGGAAGCGCCAAGAAAATCGCCCTGCCTCAACGCACTTCGCCGAGTCTACGCCACGTCTTCTCATTTCATTACGCGTGCGATTCGCGGCGGCTCGTCTCGCGCGGCGTTAAACCGCATTTTTTCTTTTTACCGCATGGGGCACTCACGCGAGGCGTGGCCCGACTGACCGCAGATGTGACACGGCTCCCCGCGCGGTGCGTCCGCCGGTGAGTTCGAGCGGCTGCGCTCCCGCTTGCGCTCTTCCCCGTCGCCGTCGGTGTGGCGCTCCTTCTTCTTCCAGTACTTGTTCTGCTCCTTCTCCAGCTTCTCCAGCAGCTTGCGGGAGACCTTCAGAATGTGAAGGTAGTTGCACTGCTCGCCGCGCTGGCAGCGTCCCTCCAGGTCCTCCTTGCAGCACGCCTCCGCGAAGTTCGTCACGGGGGACAGCTCCGGCAGCACGATGATCTGATTGAGCTTCTTGCCGCGCAGCTCCCGCACGATGCGCGCGGCCACCTGCGGATCCTCAAAGCGGATGTATACGTTACCGAGCAGGTGATCACCGAGGTTGCTCACGACCCGCAGCTCGGCGATGCGGCCGAACTCCAGAAACGTCCGCCACACCTCCTTGTAGAAGTGCTCGAAGTGCTTCTTCAGATACTTCTTCTCGAACTCCACGTTCCACTCGCGGTCCTTGATGTGGGCGATGGCGTGCGGGTTGGGGTACATCATCGGGAACAACACGGTGGGAGAGGAGTCGGGGTGGTGGTGGAGCTTCGTGCACTGCTCACTGTGTCGGCAGGCGCCCATCTTCGAAAAGAAGATGCAGCGATCGCTGCTGGCGCTGTTCGCGTTGTTGCTGGGAGAAACGTAATTGCTGTGCATTAGGCGGAGCAGGAAGGCGGGGGGGGGGTTCCTGTTGTGGGGAGAAGAATCCAATGCGCTCTGCGATGCCGCGTTAATTCCTCGCGTGTTTCGCGGTGCACAGTGAACGTCTATGCGTGTGGGTGTGGGCTTAGGAAAGCCAGAGGAGCCGGCGAAAGTTCGATTTCTTTAGGTTTAGATTATTTTAGTTGTACTAGCTTCAATGAAAGATCATCTGCGAGCGGAGAGAGAGCAAAGGAAAGAGGAAAAGGAAAAGAGCAGGGGGGAGTGAGAGGACACGTCGGAGGCCGCATCGTGCAGTTCCTCCACTTCGTATTCGGGCGGCAATTACATATAAAAAAAAAAACAGCAGGAAAAAAGCCGCTGCTGACGTCGCGTTCATTCGTTCATTGCCGCTCCTCCGCCCTCGAACAGCAACAATACCGACAGAGCGGCTGAGGAAAAAGCTTTAAACGTCCAACGTACACCCTCATTTTTGGGGCTTCTTCAAATAGATCCCTTTATCTTTTTCTCCGATGAGCGCGCTGTGGAGCACAACGGCAATCCAAATGTATCGTATCAACGGACCCGACGCAGGCGCCGCTTGCCGGACGAAATGGTGAGATCATCTATGCGTGAGATATCTATATCTATGTATGTTATTCAGCTGATGCGAGTCCCCCCCCCCTCCTCGGCCCTCGCCAAAGCATCATCACGGTTCGGACGAGTAGGACACCACCGAGAGCTCGTCACCCACGTCACCGCCGCTCCCATCGGAGTATCCATCAGCGGAGGAGAGGAGGCAGCGACGGCGGCGCCGCTTTCTGTCCTTTGCCCCTACACCCGTCACGTCCATTGTCTCCTCTTCGCCCTCCGCACCGTCTCCGTCGTTATGGAAGTAAAGCGTGCAGTCGATGCTGCTGTCCACGATGACGGGCTTAGGCGGCGTGCTTGTGTCGGCGCCGTTGAACAACAACGCCGCTGCTGTGCTGCGAAGACAGTCCAGAAGCCAATCACCCTCTCGCGCCGCCTCGTCGAGAGCCGTAGCACCCCCGTGTGCGCCTCGCCAACGCGTGTCCGCCGCCAAAGAGGCGTCACAGGCGCGCGAGCTCGTCGGCACAGGAGCGGACAGTGCGTAGGACAGCTGAGTGAAGGGACACAGTGCTGTTCCGTAGGTTAAATGACGTGCGACGGCGTGCAGGGCGACGCCAACAGCGTGCTGGCGATGGCGGTGCTGCCTCTCGCTTCGACTCCCTTCGTCCGCGTTGTCGCCGCCGCTCCCACTGCTGCAATGGAGGTCATCTGCGGAGCGCGTCGGCGTCCCAGCCGTTCGTGGCGGCTTAAAAAACCGCTGGAGTGCGTCCTGCTGACACGCGAAGAGAGCCGCCGTCTCCGCCTCCCACGCCTTCTGCGCGTACGACAGCGCCCGCTGCGACACGGCCCACACGCCCAGCACGTCACCGAAGGTAAAACACCGCTGCGTGCCGCACGTGGTAGATCCGTCCGCTCGCTGCCGTACACACAACTGGGGGTCTTGCTCCCGCTGATGCGCACTCCCAGCTACCGCGCTCACCAGCTGCCGCAGCACAACATCTACCACGAAAACAAACGTTGTTGCACGCCGGACCTCTTCGCCAGCACCGCTTTTCATTTCGTCCAGGAATGACGGTGTCCAGAGATGACGTGTGAAGCCGACCAGCTCCAGCAGCTCAAGCAGCCACGCGCTGTGCTCCTCGAGTTGCGTGCCGCTGCTGCGCACCACGACGACCTCAATCGGATGCAGAAGGACGGAGGGAGACGCGTTGGAGGAAGACAGCGTCAGAGCACGAAAGCAGGAGAAGGAGCCGTCGTTGGCTGACGCCGCCACCGCTGCGGCGGAAGATGACAGCGAGGGTTTCGCACCGGCCCGCGACGTGTCCATCCGTTTTCTGGAAAGAGACGCACCCGCGGCCCTCCTCTCCAGCTTCACGCCTCGTGTGCTGGCAGAGTGCTGCTCCGCGTGGCCAAGGGCAGCCCCGACCGATCCGCCTAGCAGAGCCTCCAAGAGATCCACCGCTCGTTCGCCCGCTCGCACCTCCGCCGCCACCGTCTTCGTGCGCTGTGCGCTTTCCAAAACGGTTTCTGCCGGTGCGTGCTGCGTGCCGCCGACTACGCCGTCACCGCCCGCTGCTTCTCGCTCGGTCCGCCGCCTCCGCTGACGCCGCTGCTGTGCACGACAGTAACGCTTATGCAATGCGGCGTCTTCCGCATTCGCGTTAAACAGCATCTGGCACTGCGGACACCGCTGGCCGATGTGGCCGCTGCCCCGTTGGCCGAGATCGAGAGTCGTCTGCGTAAGCTGTTGCTGCTGTCGAGGCTGCTGCTGCCGATGGTGATGATGCGAGTCGGGGAGCATCGCCGTCAGCGGCGAAGGCTTTCGAGTTGAGCTCGGCAGCGGAGGAGAGGGTGGCAAAGAGGGTGGAAACGTCGTGCGTGAAATTTGCGGGTGCAAGGAGGCCTCTGTTACGCGATCCGTCTGCGCATTCGACGCCGTGTTGCTGCGCCGCAGGCTCGCGTTGTGCGTTGGTGATTGGCTGCTCACTGCGGCGTTGCCTGCACTCGATGACAGGCACAAACTCATGTGGGTGCTGTAGTCTGCGCTGCCGCTTGTCGCATCCGTCTCCATCAGAAATGCGGCCAACGGCACATCGTCGTCGTCATCGTCAACGTCTTTGTTGTCTCCTGCATTTCCGCGAGCCACCTTGTCCGTCTGCGCCGCCGACGCGACGGCGTGGCGTGGCGTGGAGGAGCGAGCCGGGCAAGTAAGGGAAGAGGAGAGGCGAAACGACTCTAGCGTGCGCTGCTGCTGACTTCTGCGTGGCGCCGGCGTTGCGGGGCGGGCCGCCATCACGGAGGGCTTCGCTACACGCAATTTCAGTGGAGCTGAAGAGAGCGAGGAAAAATAAGAAAGGCGGTGCGCCTCTGCGAAGGGTGAAGATAGAGTTGGGCTTTGAGACGCCTCCTTTTTCCACGAAGGCAGCGAGTCCGACTGGACCGTTGCCGAACTTCGATCTCGCCTCTCTCGGCAACGTGATGGCGGGGAAAACAAAGAAAGAGGGGAGAGGGGGAGAGAGAGAGAGCAGGATAGTTGGAGGCGACGGCCACACGACAGCAGTGGACGGCTCGAATGACGTCGCATTTGTGCGATGATGCAGCGCCCCTCAATAACGATAGAGAAACGAAAGAAATAGTATATACACGTAAAGAGCATCAACGACATTGCCATCCCACACGCCTCACATCCGTAAGTTGATGGTGTTGCGGAGCAGCGCAGATGCAGCACGCAAACAGCTTTAAGTTCTTTTTTTAAAGAGGTTGGGCAGCACAGGTGGACGCAAATATATGTTTACTTTTTCTCTTAAAGATAGTTTTTACAGCGGTGGGAGGCGATCCAAAGCGGCAAGCAGGCTGTGCATGTCCGCCTCCTCCGCAGGAGCGTGCGCTGGTGGCTGTGCCCGACTGTACTCATCGGTGTGAGTCGGTTGTGGTTCCCGTGTGCTATTGATTTTATCAGGGGACGCGGTCGGTGCTTCAGCTGCACGAAGCCCACCGAGCGCCGTTAGGTACTCGCGCATGAGCGCGTCAAGAGAAGATCGTGCGCCGACATCGTTGCTGCCGCTGCCGTCAGTCGGCGCTGCTCGAGCCCGCTGTTGCCCGTCTTCCATCGGATCGCTTCGATTCGCTGACGCAATAGAGCAAAGGAGTGTTTGCTGCGCCGGCGATGCTGAGGTCAACGGCTCGTACACGCGGAACATCTCCTGGTGTGGTTTGCCGCTCCATTCGTCGTTGTTATTGCTGCGCAACGCCACCAGCAGCTGTCCCAACTCCTTTTCCAAGGACGCGCCGGTATGAGCGGTGGTGGATGAAGCAGCCATGATGAGCAATGTGCGCTGCCGCACAACAGCTGCGTTGTGTCAAGGAAAGAAGAAAGAGAGGAGGAGAAGAAGAAAGTTCGAAGTGCTAGTATTTAATACGGAAAAAAAATGAAGAGGCTTCCGCCGACCGATCCCTTGAGCGTGTGGCGCTTCCCTAAAGTCCCTCGAAACGAAGGAATATAAAACAACAAACGCTGATGCACATCAAACAGTCAAGACGAGATACCATGCGGTTGAGGAGGCCGCCTCTCGGTCGAGCTCGCTCAGCAATGCGAGCCTCTCCTCTACAACTCCTTCCGTTCGACCTCAGAGTCCATCGAGGTCCTTTGCCTCCTCCTCCACACCTCTTTTCCTTTTATCGAATTTCCCCTTTCCGCTCGCGAAGCCCGCGAAACAACAACAACAGAAGACCACCACCAACGCCGAAGTTCATTGGAAAGACGGCGGTGAGAAAACGGAAATGCGAAGCTGCTGATGTCCTTTCCCTTTTTCCTCATTACGCAGCTCCGCACGCGGCGGCTTCTACTCTCTCTCTCTCCGTCAAACGATCCCGAACACACAAGCCAGAGGAGGAGGAAGAAATATATAAAAACAGTAATAATAAAAGAATTACTTAATGATGAACTTTGCAGCGTCATCAGCGCCGTCAATAATACCGGCAGCTTACTATCGTCCGTTTACACAGTGTTCCCCACAGCACCGTAGTGGCACCGCTTACGGCCACTTCAACCTCTCCCTTTCTTCCATCAATAATAAGCAACGAAAGGCGCGTGTTTCCGCTCGGTGCGCCTCCCGCCGCGTCTCCCTCCCGCTCCTCATTTCATCAGCTTCAGAACGTGCTTTCGGTACTCGGGGAAGTCACCTTCGAACTTCTGCACTGTCTGATCCTCGCACACGTAAATGTCGTCGCACAGCGACGTGATGAAGTACTCGTCGTGCGAGATCACCAGCAGGCCACCGTTGTACGCCAGCAGCGCCTCGATCAACGCGTTCACCGTGTCGATGTCAAGGTGGTTTGTCGGCTCATCGAGCAGCAGCAGATGCGGCTTCTGGAACGTAATCCACGCCAGCACGAGACGCGACTTCTGGCCGCCGGAAAGCGTGTAGATCGGCTGCATGGCGCGGTCGCCGGACAGCCCCATGCTACCGAGGTGCGCCCGCAGCTGCTGGTCCTCCATGTGCGGGTACTTGGACCGCAGGAACTCTAACGAGGATAGCTGCGGCGTCAGGCTCTCCAAGTTGTGCTGCGCAAAGTGCGCCATGCGGATTTTCTTGTTGCGCACGATCGTCCCCGTGCGCGGCTCCAGCTTGCCCATGCACACATTCATGAAGGTAGACTTGCCCGCCCCGTTGGCGCCGACCAGGACGATGCGAGAGCTCTCATCGATGCCCATGTTCACGTCCTTGAAGAGGCTCACGCCCGGCTTGTAGCCGAACTCGCAGTCCACCATCTCCACAAAGCTGCCCGATACCGGCTCGACGTCGGGAAAGGCGAAGGCGAACTGTGGGTCGCTGACGACGTCCGCCACCATCTCCATTCGCTCCAGCGCCTTGATGCGCGACTGCGCCATCTTCGCCCGGTTCGCGTTGTAGCGAAACTTGTCGATGAAGGACTGGATGTGCGCGCGCTGCTTCTCCTGCGCGGCGTACTGCTTCTTCTGCTGTCGCTCCTGCTCCACCCGCGTCAGCTCGAACTGGTCGTAGTTGCCCGTGTAGTAGTGCAGGTGGTGCCCCACGAGGTGGATCACCTCGGAGCAGACGTTATTGAGGAAGGTGCGGGAGTGGGACACGACGACGAGCGTCTTCTGCCAGTCCTTCAGGAAGCCCTCCAGCCACAGCACCGCGAAGAGGTCCAAATGGTTTGTCGGCTCGTCCAGCAGCAGCACGTCCGGCTCCACGAAGAGCGCACGCGCGAGCGCGACACGCATGCGCCAACCACCAGACAGCATCTTCGTCGGGCTGGTCATCATTTCCTGGGTGAAGCTGAGGCCGTGCAGGATCGTTGCCGCGCGGGCCTCGGCGCTGTGGGCGTCGATCGCGTCCAGTCGGGCGTAGACCTCGTTCAGCCGCGTGTTCGCCTCCGTGTCGTTGCGCTTCAGCAGCTCCTGCTCCTCCTTCAGCAGCTGCGTGCGCTCCGCGTCCGTCTCGAGCAGCACCTCCAGCGGCGTCTCCGCCCCCGCGACGATCTCCTGCTCCACGTGTAGGATCTGCATGAAGGGACTCACGCCCTCCAACTCCCGCTCGGCCAGCGCACGCAGCAGCGTCGTCTTACCAGCACCGTTGCGGCCGATCAAGCCGTACTTGTGACCGGTCAGGAGCACCAAATCTGTCTCGTCCAGCAGCAGCTGCTTGCCCAGCTGGATGTGGATGCCCTCGCACCGGATGTCGGTGCTGTAGTTGGTGCCTTCGCCTTTGTGGTGCAACTTCGTGACGGCGGTGGCGTTGGCGATGCCGCGCTTCTTGAGGAACTCCTCGTACTCCTCCGCCAGCATCGCCTTCTTCTCGTCCTCTTTGCGCTTTTTGCGGATGTCCTTCGCCGCGTTTCGGTTCTTCTCCCACGACCAGTCCTCATTTGTATTGGCCGTGGTGACCTTGCCGACCGACTTGATCATCGTCGCCCGCTTCATGCTCTCCTCGTACTGGCGGCCGATGCTCACCGCACTCGTCAACCGACTCGACTCCTCGCTCGGCTTCTGTGTGATGCCCTCCTTCAGCATCTGCTGGCAAATTGCGGCGGCGCTGTTGCTCAGCTGGTCCTCTGCGCCGTTGAAGACGTCGAACTCACGGAAGTAGAGCTTCATCGTCTCCTCGATGATCTCCTCCGGCAGGTAGGACTCCGACGAGGTCTGGCCCTCCAGCATCTTCAGCATGTACTCCAACACGCAGTCGTCCATCTTCCGCAGGCCGAGCGCAGGGATGTTGTTGACGAACACCTTCGCCACGCGAGTGTCGTGCTGACCCAAGATCTGCTGCAGCTGCATAAGCTCCATCGTGCTGCGTCGCGAACCGCCTAACTAACAAAGAAAGCTATTTTTGTTTTTGTTTCTGAAAGGTGTCGCTGCACTCTTCGCTGCGGCTTCGCTTTCGAAGAAGGCGGGGGAGGCGGAAAGGCGGCGATGTGATGTGCGTGTATTTGCCGCTTGGTGTGTCGCGCCTCGCAAGTTGACGAATCAAAAACTGTCGAGAACACAAAACAAAATCAAACAACAAAGAACGAAGGAAGAAGCCGAAGACGAGGTTTGCGACGATGTCAGAGGGAAAGTAAACGTTCAGTTGAGCGGTGCGAGAGGAGGCGCTACGCAAACTGCGCAGACACACCGGCAAACGGCGTTGACGCTCTCCTTCGAATTCTTTCTTTTTCTTCTGCCTCGCTCTTCGCGTGGGGCCCACAGTGGGGAGGGGGGGGGGGGGGGGTAGGAGTTCAGCGGGACGTGGCACCTCGCCACGGTTTCTGCGCCAGTTTGAAGGTTCTTGCGTCCCCTCCAGCAGCAGGAAAGCAGATGAGAGAATCCAAATCTGATCGCCACGCCTCTTTGGCTTGGCTGCTCCTTAACAACGTTCTTTTCTCACTTTCTTTTTCCCTCTCTTTTGTGATGCCACAAACGTGGAGGGAATCCGCCGAAGCTCGCCAGAACTGAAATAGCCCAAACACAAAACGACAAGCGCACAGCGCGGAGGCGCACCACAAGCTGGCGACTCCGCCGACCGCCACTGCGAGTTCGTTTGAAGAGTTGAGAGCGCGCGGGAGGGGTGGGCGAGTGAGGAAAGCAAAGCGCATCTCCCTCTCCGACTCCGACGCCTCATTTCTTCTTGGCGGCTCCGCCCTTCGCGGCGTCCGCCCCCTTCGCCCGCTTCTGCTTAAACACAATCAGCTGATCCCACTTGTAGTCATCAATCGCAATCGGGTTCAGCACGCGGCCCTCCGCATTCATCCGGTCCGCCGCGAGCCACGCCTGCTCCATCACCATTTGAATCAAGTCCTGCGCGTTCACCCCCTCCATAAGCGGCGGGGTGTACACGGCGCCGTCCAGCCACGTTACCTCGATCTTCGGCGTAATGTGATCGATGGAGTAGTAGAGGAAGACCTTGTCGTTCGGGAAGGGCGACCGGGCGTTGAGGGCACGGCGATAAAAGTCCAGCGCCGCCTTCTGCAGCGTGTGGCCGTAGCCGAACATCAGCGGCGACACCGTCACGACCACCTTCTCCATGTGCATGAGAAACAAATGCTTGTGATACGTCTTAGGCGCGACGACGGCGAGAGGCCGCTTCGCGCCTGTGTGCTCGGGCGTGTGCTCCGCGTACTGCACCTCCCGCTCCCACATACTCGGCGCCGTCAGCGGGTTGTGCCACGACTTGAACACCCACTGCGGCTTCGATTTGGGGTCCACGTACTGCACCGTCGGAAGCGGCTTCTTCACCAGCTTGCCCTTTGTGACGGACAGGAACTGAAACTCCCGCCCACCGCGGCCGTAGTCGGTCGGGCACTTCGCGTGGGCGTAGTGCTGATGGTACATGGCGCCGGTCATCCCCTCCCCCCACCGCGCCGGCGTGGCGGTGTTGTACGTGTAGGAGTTGTGGTTACCGCGCCACATGGCGTAGTACGGGAGGGGGTAGACGAGCCCTTTCAGGTGCCCGACATGCGGACGCAGACGCGGCTGGCGAGAGAGGGCAACCTGAGGAGCACTCAAGCCCAGCGTCTTCAGGCTCGCGAAGGAGTAATGCGACGGCGGCGGAGCAGCGGCAGCCATTTTTTCTATCTCCTTCCTTTCGACAGGTGTGATGTGAGACAACGCGAAAAGGCGAACAGCGAAGCTGCGCCTGTGGAGTGCGCGAGGGGGGCTTCAACCGAGAAAGACAGAGAAAGAAGGGAAAGCAGCAGCAGCGGCGCCTCTTCTCCTGAGCTGGCCTCGTGGATTTCCTCCCAGCTATACCTACTACTCTTCCGATCTCAACGAAGATACAAAGCAAAAATGGCGTCGCGGCGGATGCGGAGGCCACACGACACGGCGAGATAACAGGTGTTTCGACAGCCGAGAGGAGATAGATTAGAGGAAAAGAGAGGCGGGAGGACATACACAAACGTAGACTGACCACCAGAGGGTCAACATGAGCTGTGCGGTGCTCAAAACATGCAGTCAGCCGCACCGAACACACTTGGCGGATGACACTGTCGGTGCCAAGTCCCACAACACACGCATGCACACACACACACACGCACAGTCCACGCAACATCCACCGCAGATCGGAGCTATCGTCCCTGTACGGACACTTTCTTCTGTGCGAACTAATGTCTTCTGGCAAGTAGATCCTCATGTACATCGTGTCAAGGAAAAAAAGAAAACAAAAGCAGCTCGTACGGGAGAGGGGAAGCACAATTGTCGGGGGTCGCACGTATTAGATTCGCCTCCATCCGTCCTGCTTCGTGCTTCGGTGTGTGCGTGTGTCTACGGCAACAGCTGCGGCGCAAATCCATACAAGCATCACCGAGCGGAGAGAGAGAGAGAGCACCGGTAGAGTACTACGCAGCAGCGTTTTTTTGTTTATTTAAGTGTTTGTGTTGCTAAGCGCGCTGTATCGCCAGTCCGCGGTTGCCGAGCTTCTCCTCCCACTCCTGCCGCTCCCGAGCGTACAGCTCCGTCAACGCGGCATGGCGCTCGCGATTCGCCGACTCCTGCTCCAACCGTCGCACCTGTGAGGAAGCGGTGGCCTGCGGGGAACCGCTCGAACTGCCTGCTGCTGCTCCGCCACGCGCCTTCGGCGGGCGCGCAAACATCTCTAGCCGCGTGCGTGCCCGGGCCTCCTCATCAATCCGCTGCTGCCGCTGTTCCCACTGCGCGCCCTCTTTAATGTAACTGAAGACGTTGTCCGGCAAGTTGTCGCGGCGCTTCTCGACGTCGTGCGCTGCGCCGTAGCGGCAGCCGGGACGCACCCCGGTGATGTACGAGTCCCGGCTCTCACCCGTGGCGTGGTAGGGCATCGCGCACACGAAGGAGCGGGTCTTTAATGGAAAATAAATAAATATATGTATATGCGCGTACACGTTACGCAGTTAGCTCGACGACCGAGTAGAAGAGACTCAGGAAGAGAAGAACAAAAAGCCCTTTCCTTCTAGTCGATGGCGGCACGGCGGATGCAGCGTTTGGAATCGTGCAGCAAAGAGAAGAACGAGCGAAAGGAAAGAAGACGAAGGCAGCGTGAGGGAGCCGTAACGGGAACACGGGAGCTGGAGAAGAGGCTTGTTCACTTCGGCTGTCTGTGTGACACCGCTATCCACCCACAAGATAAGGGCACGAAAGACAGCTGAAGGGTAAAGCGCTGCCAGAAGGCGCCAGCACAACACGCTGGTGGCAGCCGCAGAGCAGGGAGAGAGATGTGTGTGTGTGTGTGTGTGTGTCTGTGAAAGAAATTTGATTGTTGCAAAATGCAGAAAACAAAACCTGCGGCTTCATCTCGTCTGAGCTGTTATCGTTTTAAAAACCCCAGCGCTACTCTGTTCAGCGACTTGGGTTGTCAGCCAGTGAGGTGACGGCATCATTAGTTAGACATAGAAAATCAGAAAGGAAAGTCAACGACGACAACACGCGGGTGAGCTGCACCTCCGTGCAAACTCCGCCTGCGTCTTAAACCAAGATGCGCACATGCCTCCGCAGCAACGACACCGATTATCCCTGCCCATCCACCAACGTTGGCGGCCGTGCGAGAGAGAGATATACTCATCTACATGAGGTACGCGCGAGCAGCCAGCGAGTACGTCGTCACCCGTTCGAGCTTCTCCATCTTCCTCACCTTCCCACAAACAAATTCCAAGGCGTTGATCACCTTGACTTCTTGTGGCTCTCCAAGAAGGGCTGCGGCACGACGCGGCGCAGCAGAATAGCGTTGCACTCTTCCAAGTCCGAGTAGTACTTCTCCACCACGCGCACCTCCTCAAAGTTGAAACGGCGATAAAACGCCAGCGCCGGGGAGCCGACCTGCACGTGCAGCGTCACCGCCGCGATGCGGACCTTCGCGTCGTGGTACACCGCAGTCAGCACCGCCTGCAGCAGGCGCGCGCCGATCTGCATGTTGCGGTAGGGCTCCAGGACGCCAATCGTCATGATGTACAGGTTCAGTGCTCCCTCCTCCTCTGCCTTCTCCAGCCGGCACGTAATCGACCCGACAAGGAGGTCGTGGAAGAAGGCCACCTGGTTAAAAGGATGGAGACAGGAGCGGACGTAATTGCTGTAGTAGGACTCCTGATACTTGATGGGGAAGCAGTAGTGGTCCAGCACCTTGATGCGCTCCGTCAGACGCCCGCCGCCCGTAACGCGGAGGTGCAGCCCCTTCAACGGCGCAAAATTCTTCTCCTCGTACGGCGCTGACATGATGGTGATGATCGATATAACGAGTACAGCAACCAAAGTGTGTTTTTTCCTTCTTTTTACACTAGAAAGGAATGCGACCTTGTTTGGAAAGGAATTGTACGTGTGTGAACGAGTTTATGGTGGAAAGAGAAAAGGTGAGATGATATACAAAGGAAGAGCGCCGGCTGAAGAAGTGCTGACGAGCTGCGCACTCTGCCAAGCACGAAAGCAGCTGACGGGGCGTGTACACTTCGCTTTAGTTCGCAGAGAATTTATTAGAAAAGTCCGTTTCTACTTTTAAAGATAGCTGTTCAGCCGGCGTGGCGTTCTTCTGTCTTTCGCCTCGCTCGGTGTTTCACGCTTCATCGGTTTGACTGCGCAGATGCGAATGATGTTTCTTTTCCTATTCTGGCAGAGTTGAGAGGTTGCACGCGATTCTCTATGGCGATGCGCAACTGGAAGAGCGCTTCTATAGAACAACCAATCAAACAAGAAAACAATTCCAGCAATAGATAGAAGCAAAGCAAAAGGGCAGTCAATTACGCCAGTCAGACAGGTACGTCGTTATGACGCGTCTTCAAACATAAATTCCATATCTCTCAGCAGCTCCTTCGCCGCATGCACACGCTGATCTCGCGTAGCGGCGGCTGTTGACGTCGTGCTCGTTGCTGCGTGGGCTAGCTCAGGTGGTGCAGACAGCATTACCGTGTCTCCCGCATCGTCTTCCTCTGTGCCGCCTTTCCCTTCATTGCTCGCGGTCTCGCCATCACCTTCGCCCTCCTCCACCCCCGCCAGCCGCTCCGTCGCACCTTCATCGATTGCCACGGCGGATGTAAGTTGTGTTGCGGGCGCCGGCGGCGGCGGCGGTGGGGAGGGGGGAGGCAGCAGCTGTTGTTGTTGATGCGGCGCGGGACCGACCGGCGTGGGAAGTGAAGGAACAGAACCCGCTGACGCTGCGGACGTCACATCGGGCGCAGCTGCGTGCGGCACGGCAACGGCTGCATCGCTGTCCTGTAGGCTGCACGTTTTCAACGCCGCCGCCTCACGCGCGGACACCGCTGCTGCTGCTGCTGCGGCGGCGGCTGCGGCGGCGGTGGCTCCTGGAGGTGCAGAGCGCGAAGAGGAGGGCAATGCCGGAGGAGACTGGACGGACTCCGCTGGCACCGGCACAGACACCGGCGCCCCGGTGCTGCTCGTCGTTTCGTTGGTTTCCGGACGCATCAGCGGATCTGCCTCCGCAGGGACCGCAGAGCGGCTGAGGTGACTCGCGACGAAGTTCTCAAGGAGCTTTCGCGCCACCACCGCAGCAGCGGCGGCATCGGATGTGCCTCCACCTTCTTCCGCTGACTGTTGCAAGGAGGAGGGCGGCGGATGTTGTGACGCCAGCGTTTTCTTCCAGTACTGCACGCTCCGCTCAGCAGCCGCATGCTGCTGCTGATCCACTTCTGCATTGCTGTCGGTACTTGTGTTGTTCGCTGCGGTGAGGCTGCTGTACAGCCAGGAGGTGAGCTGACGGGCGACGTCGTCAGCCGGTGCAGAAGGCGGCCAGTACGGGATAGAAGCGCCATCGTTTTCCACCGCGGCGGCTGCGACGACATCGTCCTCGCGATGCACAATGGCGTCTGATGCGCGTGGTCGCACCGGTGGTGCGGACGCTCCCTGAGACGACGGCGCCGCGGCTTTTGACTGGGGAGACGCACGCGCAGGACGGGCTGCGCTGCCAGCTTTCCATCGCCGCTCCACCCCCATCGGAGCAGCTTCGTCTTTCCTCTCCCTTTCGTTCGCTTTCCCGTCCTGCGGTGCATCATCCTTGTCACTGCTGGCGCTCTTGGCGCGGCGTAGCAGGCGGGCACGCTCACCTGATAGCTCGCGGCGGGTGTCCGCCAACTGCGCCTCGTAGAACGTCTTCATCCGCTCGTACTGCGTCTGCAGTGTTTGAACCTCCTCCGCCTGGTGCCCCGCCCGCGCCCTTGCCGCACGCTTCTCCTTCTCCAGCCGCTCCAACACATCCGCTTCGCTCTGTCGCAGTGCGTCGCGCTCCAGCCGCAGCTGCGAGAGCTCCGCCAGCTGCTGGGAGATGACTCTGCGTGCGTCACCCAGCTGCCCCTCCATGTGTTTTACTTTGTGGCGGAGGGCCTGGCACTCCTTGTGCAGCTGCTCCTTTGCGACGAGGCTGTCGTGCAGTTGGGCGGTGGTGGAGTCAAGCTCCTGCGAGACGGCGGAGCGCTGAAGAGACGCCGGGGACGGCACAGGGAAGCGGCCAAGGCGGCTGCCACCACCGTTGCTGTTGCTGAGGCTGTGCGTGTTGGCGCTATGCTGCGCAGCCGGTGTGGCGTAAAGCGACGCGTAACCGCCGCCGCTGCTGACTGTGTGTGTGGCGCGTTGCTCCGAGCCGGCATTGGCAGGCGTAGTCGAATTCGCCTCGACCTCTGCGCTGAGGTCGTCGGCATCCCGGTCAGCCATCTGCGGTTCTTGGAGTCTGCCCACACACTCCGCAGAGGGCGGGGAAAGCTCCGGCTGGTCTTGACGTGCCCGTGCGGCAGGCGGTGATACGGGAGCGGCGGCCACAGCTGTGGCCGCCGCCCGTCGAGAAGCTGATCTCTCTTCTCCATCTTGCCGCTGTTCCTGGTTTTGCTGTGTCATTGGATTGCTCCTCCCCGTGGGTGTGAATGGCGAGGCGCCGACTCGTTGTTTTGCGGATGTCGATGTCTGTGGTGTCCGCTTAGGACCACGGGCCGCGTCACGCCGCACCGCGGCGGCGGCGGCAAGTAGCTTCGCTGGAGATTTGAAAGATGCGCTCGCTGCGGTGGTCGTGGTGGCGGCCGCTGCTGGTGCGTTGACGCGTGCGACGGGTCGCGGCGGCTCCACACGCGGCGTCAAACCCGACTCGTCGAGACGCGCGTTCTCTGACGTGCAGGTGCTTGTGGCGGCCCGGTGCCCGATGGAAGCACCCCACGGGCGTTGATGAGCCGACGATTCCTTCCATCGATCAAACGAGGAGCTCTCCGCATCTTGGTGTACCGACTGGCCTTGCTGTTGCCGCCGCTGCTGCGTCTCGTGCGGGCGTGCGTTGCTCCCCGTCTCGAGCAGAGAGCGATCTCCTCGCCGGCCGGCTCCGTACTTCCCCTCGTCCTCGTCGTCCTCTCGCACAAGAGGCGCGCCATCCAGCGACACGACGGCTGATTGAAGCTGTGCAACCGTCGTGCGATAGCGCCGCACGCGCGTTACCGGATTGCCGGTCAGACTCAGCAGCTGCAACGACGGTGTGGTCGGCAGAAATAAAAGTTCGTCCGCGTCCTCGATGTAGTTATTGCTCAGAGAGAGCAGCCGCAGCGTCTGCACCCCCTCCAACCCAAGCGTCCGCTCTATTCGATTGTCTTCTGCCTTCAACACCTCCAGCGGAACCCGTGGCGTGAGTCCGGCCAGGCTGGTCAACCGATTGAAGCTGACGTCGAGCTCGCGGAGGTGCAGAAGCTGCCCGACGTAGTCCAGGTGCTCCAGCTTGTTGTGCGCGAGGTTCAGCTGCGTCAGTCGCAGCGGCAGACCATCGAAGCGCCAGATGTGGTTGTAACTCGCGTTGAGTCGCACAAGGGAGCGCAGGGGCTGCAGCTGCGTCAGCTCCTCCAGCTCGTTGCGTGAGAGATCAAATGCCGTGATGGCCGAAAGCATCTCGCACTCTTTGGGTGTGGTGAAGACGGCGGGGAGGTCGATGGTGCGAATGCCGCGCCCACGGCCCGACACCTCGACCTCTTCAGAGCCGGCCGAGCCGCGACTGCTGCTGCTGACTGCGGTGATGGACATGGATGTGTGCGTGTGTGTCACTGTATCGCTCTAATAAGAAGGGGGAGGAGGTGATGTACCGCGAATTTATGATAGTAATCATAGTAAGTAAGAGATGGGTAGTGATGTCCGTGCAGTCGCTGTACAAGGATCGATGAAGGGGGCGAGAGATATAGAGAAAAGCAGGATAGTTACACCACCGGAACTATCGGAAGGTCTAACCCCCGCCTCGATTCGTGTCGTATCAGCAAAAAACAGAACGCACCCCACACTCACCCCGAAAACGCAGGCAAGCACACGTTGCGGCGGTCTGTACGCCGCGTCGGAAGGGAGGGAGGGGGAGATGCGAGCCTTCACTGGACTCGACAGCAACTATCCAGTATCACTGGAGTGGTTGACGCTGCCCTAATCACTTCGTCGAATACAAACGTCTTTGTCTAAGCCTTTATGGATGGCGTTGCAGAGAACCATTACTTTGTTGTGCAAGCACAGATATATATATATATATATAAAAGACAGAATTCTATGGTTTAGGACGGAGAAAGAAGCAGGAGGAGGACGCAAGGTCTGCCGACGCATCGCCTACGCCACGGGGTACACTGTTTTCTCGTCCCTCAACAAGGAAGAGAGCCCGCGAGCCAGCGGCCGTGTTGCTCCGCCGTTGAAGCCAGCTGCTCTTGAGTGGAATTCGTCTATCAAGTGTAAAGCAGAGGAGTTCTGTTCACTGTTCGTGGCATCCGTGGTAGACGCAGTTGAGTGGAAGAGGGGACGAAAGGCTGGCGGCACTGGCAGCTGCGATGGGCGAGAACCAACCGTCGCTGCAGTATCCATTCCCCCATTGCTTCTTTCAGCAGAAGGAAGAGAGTCGCGCCGCGGCTTGAAGAACGTCTGCGGCGCCGCTGCTCGCTCCTGCTGCATCTCCGTCACAAGGTCCTGCAGCCGAGTAACGTCGCCCAGCAGCTCCGCTCGTTCGTCCTTGAGGTGTGTGATGAGCGCCTGCAGAGACGCACACGACTCCCGCTTCTTCTCCATTTCAGGCTGCGTCACGTGACGCGCGTTGCACCCCTCCTTCTCCATCTCCTCCTCACGGTCCTCCACGAGCTGCTGGGTCAGCCGCTCCACGTTCCCGTAGTGCACATCGCGCTGCCGCAGGCACGTCTCCACTTCATCTGCGACGCTGCATTCCGTAATGTAAAACGACGCCTGCTCTGCAGCGTACACCTCTGCACACAGCTGCTTCCACAGTCGCTCCCGACGCACCGCGCGCTGCACCGTGGCGGCACACTGCGCCTCGGATGTCTGAAGGGACACCTGCAGCGCGTGTTCCCGGTCGTGCAGCCTCTCCAGCTCCGCGTAAAACACAGTGCGAAGGTGTGCCAGCTCGGAAGCAGCCGCAGATGCTTGCTCTTCGCCTTTTCGAACGCTGTTCATTGACGGAGAAACGGAAGAAGAGGAAGTGGACCCGGCGATCACGAAGGGGGCGGCAACGGTGGACTGGCTGCGTGGCGGCGCAGTCGTGTCCGGCGAGACTCGGAATACCTTCGAAGGCCGCGATGGCGCAGGCGAAGCAGCAGCGGCAGAAGACGAAGGAGCCGGTGACACTGCACGTCCTCGCCGCCTCTGCGTCGTCGTGCGAAGCAGCTCCACTGCGGCGAGCAGACGGCCCTGCACGGTGTGATGCGCGGCCACGATCGACCACAGCCACTTCTGCATCTGTTCACGATTGCGTGGGGAGTCGTGCAGGCACTCCAGTAGAAGGCAGTGCAGGAGGTTCGCCGTTGCGTTGACGTCGATGGTCCCGCCGGTCTCCTCATCCACCACGTCAGCCGTCAACGCGCGGATATCCGCCTCCACGTCTGCCGCTGTGCGCTCCGGAGAAGAACAATCAGACGCGTCGTTCTTGTGTGCTGGGAGTTGTGCCTCGAGCTCCTCCATTCGCTGCTCGTACGCCCTCAGCGTGTGCGCCGGCGGTGGTGGCGGCTGTGTACTCGGCTCCTCCCGCTGCTGGTGGGGGTGGGCGGGAGCGGCTGCCATGGCTGTTGCCTTCACATTTGCCAGCAGACTCAGCAACTGGGCCACGCGCATCTGCAGCGCTTCACACTCCTCCTCCTTCGCCCGCAGCGCGGCTTCGAGGGCGTCTTCACGACCACCGACATCAAGTGAAGGCGGCGAAGGCGTGCGCATGGCAGACCGCTCCTGTTTACTCAGCGAAGAAGAGGAGGAGTGGCGACGCTCAACTGACGGTGCGGCGCGATACGACGTGTGTGGGTCGTTCAGCGATGCCGATGACGGTCGCTGTTGTGAAGCCTTCTGGCGTTGTGTGTGCCGTGAAGTGTGGGAGGACGCCATGCTAACCACTGAAGAAGAAGAAGAGTTGGTGCGGTCTGCTTCTGCAGACGACGCCTGTGCCGACGGCGAAGAAGCCCTTGGAAACGCAGAAGGCGGCGGGCGACGTGATAGATCATGCACTGTGGTACTGCTCCCCTGCACGCCGCTTCCTTCGAGCGAGCTATCAAACTCGTTCTCCGACGGCACTGTGGAGGAGGAAGAGTGAGAGGACGCCGTCGAGGACGCACGTGAGGCAGAGTTGCGGTAGCTTCCGTTGGCGGAGGACAGATGCGAATGCCGCCTCTGTTGCCGGTGCTGCGACGTTTCGGACCGTGCTGACGGGCCATGTGAAGGAGCACGAGGCAGCGGCGACCCCTCCAACTCTGTCGCTTTCACCCGCCCGACTTGCCCAGAGCCGGCATTCGGCGACGACTGCGTCAGACGCGGTTCTGTGAGGGCGATTCTGGAAAAGTCGTTGGGCTCCCCATATGGAGCGCTGCGCGCCGCTTCTGGTGAAGACGACGCCGCAGCGGTGTCGTTGCGTGCTACTTGCTGAAGCGTGCGCTGCATCGCCTCGGCTCGGGGACTGCTTAGCCCCTCTCCACGTCGTTTTGGCATATCCTCGACTTCAACCACATTCTCACCTGCTTTTGTGGTGGATGCTGCTCTTGCACCTTGACGGTGTTGGCTGCCATTACTGCTGCGGAAGCTGTCTGCGCTGCTGCTCGTGTGGCGGCTCCCCGTTCGAGGACGCCGCTGCCGCCGTGTGAAGTTGCGCCGGTACAACTCCACTGCCGCCTCCTCCGCCTTTACAGCTTCGTCGGCTGTTGTGTGAAAAGCCGGGTGGTCCTGCACCGTCCGCAGCAGCGCCTCGGGTATCGCTGACCACGACAGCGCGTTGCCGAGCAGCAGCGACGCGATGCAGTCGGTGGACTGCAGGTACGCCGTCACGTCCTCCGCGACGTCCAGCGCAAACTCCGCCGAGAAGTCCGCCCGCTTGGAGAGGTGATGGAGAAAGTAGAAGAGCACCAACGTGGAGAAGCCGCATTCCACGCTGTTTTGCTGCAGCGCCGACGGCTGCAAGAAATCGAGCGGGATGCGCAGCCGCGCGAAGCGACGGAAGAGCAGCTCCCAGTTCACGTGCCCGCGCTGCGTCGAGGAGTGCGTCTGCGGCGCGGCTGGGCGGAGGCGCAACTCGGGGAAGACCAGATTGAAGAGGCAGCACAACACTTCGCCGTCTGCGAGACCGCTGTAGTCGACCAGCCGGCGAGAGCTGTACCGCTCAGCAAAAGAGAAGAGCTCCTTGCGCCCGATGATGATAGTGGTGGCCATGGTTCTATGGAAGAAAGGAGGAGAGAGAACTTGGACAAGTTCCACTTGATTCAGCCTGCGTAGTATGATGATATGTTCTTTGTGTAAGTATCTCTCTTGGCTTTTTTTTTGGTTTCTACAGAGGTGTGTGAGCACGTATTCGCAGCTTCATGACGTTTGGTGTGCACACGTGTGTGACGGAGCGTGGGCATCTGTAGGCGGAACCGCGCGCGTGCTGTGGTGCTTCTACAGGTCCACTGAAATCCACATCGGCGAGATATAATGAAGGCGAAGGGCGCTGAGAGATGAAACACCGGCAACGGCAACAGGGAAAGAAAAAAAAACGGCCTTCATGTCGACTCGGTGCTGACACACCACACCGCACTTCATCGTTTCATTCGGCGAGCGACGCGCAGTGCAGGTGGTGGGTGCGGGCGTGGATTGCACCACCGTTCTTCTCGTTTGCTCCTGCACAGCCATCAGGAAAGGAAGAGCCTCGTCGGTCACCGCCTGCGCGTGCAGGTGTGCATCGACGTGGCTAAAAGACCCACAACACACTTTTAACGTTCCTTTTCTTTTGTGGACTTTCGAGAGTTCGCGCGCGAGGAGCGCTGAGAGAGAAATAAAAACTGAAATCGTAATTTGTGATCACTAAACGATGCTGGAAGCATCAGCTACGGAGGAAAGATGAGAAGGGCGCGACACCATTGCTCTGACCACCACGGGGGGTCCAAAGAGACAGACGCACGTGCACCCGGGCACGCCAATGAGCTCCGCACAGCCACCAGAGCACCCGCTCATCGTGTAGGCAGACATCAGCAACCAACAAGGACCGCGCATTCTGCAACAAAAACACACACAGAAGAGAAGACACGTCACACAACCGGTAAGTCTTCTCGGGCTGGCATGACGGGATGAACACACGACTTCACAGCAAGAGACAAAGAAAAGAAAAGAAGAAAACGCTCACCATCTTGGTGCTGCTCCTCCCGATTAGCGCGGGCTCGATCGGAAGATGTAGTCCTTCGTCTTCTCCAAGTTGAAGAAGGTGTAGTTCACAATAACCTCATCCAACCAGTTCACCATCGGGTCGTTCAGAAAGTCGCGGTCGATGTAGAAGAACACCGGCATCTCCACCAGCTCATGCGGCTTAAAACGCTGCTCCTCGAAGCAGAAGCACTGAATCTTGTTCAGGTAGTTCGTCACCTCGGGCGGTGCGATCGTGTACGAGGACACGCCGAGGAGCGTGCGGTTGCTGCGGTTGTACGCGGAGTAGAAGGCGAGGGCCGGCTCGCCGACCAGCACCTCCACCTCCTTCTGCAGCGGCACAAAGGCGATGGGCATCGTGTTGCCCACGTCGCTGAGGAAGCGCACCTTCAGCAGCTTCTTCGGCACCGGGTAGTTCTTGTTCTGCTGCGCCCGCTCCCGCGCCGCGTCGGGGGTGTAGAACTTTGGATCCGCGCCGCGGCCGGTCTGGGCGCAGTACATGCGGTAGAGCGGCACGAACAGAAACGTGAGACCGAGCGACATGATGCCCATGCTCAGAAAGGCGGAGAAGAACTGGCCGCGCTCGTCGTAGTTCTTCGCCCCGTCGTAGCCGCTCTCTAAGCGGAATTTTCGCTTACCCTTTTGCTGTTGCTGTTGGGAGCCCTGCTGCTGCTGATGTGCGCCTTCCGGCTTTGCGCCAGCCGCCCCCGCAGTGCCATTCTTGTTCGGAGGAACGGCGCCAGTGCCGCCGGCCATACCCGCCGCGCAGCGCCACACCCAACTGCGGCGGAGCATCGTGTGCTTTTCTTTCCTGTGCTGCGCTTCCGAGACACCGACTCACGCTCGAGCGTCGACTCTACTCGACGACTGAGTTCTAACCTCGCACGAGGAGGCCGTCGGTCCAGTGGGCGTGTCACGCGAGTGCGTAAGCGAGTGAGAACTGCCAGGCAGAGCGAGCAGCCTTAGCGGCGCCGAAGTAGATCGGTTGAACTCCGCAGTCTTACCTTCGTGGGAATAGGAAAGGGAGAAAGGCACAGCTTTACTGGGGCGAATGATGTACCACAGCGGACCTTCTAAGAATTTAAGTACACAAACTATTTACGGTGATGTTGATGGTGCCTGCACGTGTGCGCGTGTGCTTCGATGTAAACCTGCACGGTGCGAAGCAGCTAATAATTTCAAAATGCAATGGTGTGGAGACGTAATCAAAAACCGCAGCACCGATGACTGTTCTCTCGTGGCGTGTCCACCTTTTCCAGATCCATTTCTTACGTATGCATATAATCATAAGTGGAAGAGAAGGGTACGTTGTTTGCACAAGACAGAAGGGGGTGGTTGACGGAACAAAATGTGTAGGCGTTCGAACCGCAGCGAGGAGGGCCAGCACGAAGAGCTCGCGAGTTCACCGCCAGGCCAAAAAGAGAATGCACCATGCTCTACTTCAACGACACACATGCCAAGACGCATCGCCTTCACACTCGTGCAACAGCGCACGCAACGACGGCTCACGTCACTGCTCTCGACATGCCGCATCAACGCGGCGCAACAAGCGCGGGGCAAATACCACCAAAGAATCTTCTCTGCAGCTTCCCCCCTGCGTCGGCTTGCGCTTCTTTTCCTTCTCCTCTTTGCTCTTCTTTTCGTTTTGATTCACACAACCACCTCGCGTTTCGCCGCGAGACTCAATTCGCGTAGACAAGGAACGAACAGCCCAGCAATGTGTTGGCGGGGGGAAAGGTGCAGGTGCAGGGGAGCCCTCCTCAGCCGACTGCGTCCCCAACGCAACGGACCGCCCGCCCAGCCTCTTCTCTATTTTGGGATGGTTCCCGTCCGTACGCACCCGGTGCGACTTGCACGTGTGCACGACACGCTTCACAGCCGCGCTGCCGACGGGGAGAGAGAGACGCACTCGACGTTGGTCGCTTCTTCGTCCACCAAAGAAGCACGGAGACACGAGCGTTTCTATGCAAAAAGAAAGCAAATAATAATAAAAAGTAAAAACCTCAAAAATTGAATGATGGAAAGAAATGGCTCAGCGAGATGTGCGCGACACACAGCAGCAGGGGGAGGCGGTCCTTCTCACGCGGACGTCACCTGGGCGTTCGCGTGTCTGCCCCTGAACATCTACGGTGACGTGCGAGTCCGCACCGCGTCTTCATTCAGCGACACCGACGTACGCTTCCCAGGGCTGGCGGAAGATCGCGCAGACTCGACACCGTCCGCATTCACCTCCGACTCGAGGCTCGTACTGTAGTACTCGTACGGGGAGCGGAATAACGTGTCCCGCCGCGCGTCGGGGTGCGTCGACATGAAATACTTGTAGCACGCCCGAGTGTAGTGCTGCCCTTTGCAGTCGCTCACGATATCCTCGATATCACCAGCGGTCGGACGAATACTCGGGTAGTCGCGGCCTTTGGGGTTGTGCACCTCCTTCCCCAGCACCGTGCGCAACGCCCCCTCATCGCGAAATCGAAAAGGGCAGCCGTGGCAGTCGTGCTGATCGACCGTTGGGGGCAGCGCCAAGAGCGTTGCACAGGACGCCGAGCTGTAGCTCGTCTTCTTACCCTCCACCCCGTAGTTGTGCCGCACGTTGTAGCCGTACGACGTCTTCGCAAACGCCTCCACCGAGCCGCCGCCCTTCACCGTCATGAGGGTCGCAAACAGTTCCATCGAATCCTCCAGCGACAGCCCGATCGCCTTTAAGAAGAGACCGTAGGTAAACCGGCCGTGGTGCTTCAGGTGCCCTCCGCGGCGCAAATGGGCGTCGATCATCCGCATGCAGGGCGGGAAGTGGGTCTGCGCCAGGCGCTGCACGTCACCGGCCTTCACCGCCCCGGCCACGCCCTCCTGCAAGCTGTCCGTCGGCGCGGCAATAAACTGTTCTAAGAAGGCATCCAACATCGACATCACCGTCGACTTCTCCGTTTCCTCGCTGAGGGACTGCTGTTGAGCCCGTGCGAGGTAGGCGCTGTGCAGCCCGCGATTGAGGTGAGCGCAGAAGACCGTCAAGAACACCTCCTGCACCTGGTCTCGAAAGAGAATGGCCTGACCGGCACGGCAGAGCACGCTGCGCTTCTTGATAAGTCGCGTCGCGAGGGACAACGGCACGGCGTAGTAGTTCTCTGCTCGTCCCTCCGACTCCCGTGCGCCGTCGGCCTTCGCACGGCGATACTCCAAATACGCGTGCAGCATCGGATCGGCGAGCTGCTTCTCCGTCAGCGGCGCGCAGGGCAGGCCGTTCCGCTTCATCAAATCGACCAAAAACGTGAAGGGGCTCTTCGCCATTTCCATCTTGATGCGCGCCGTCAACAGCACCCGCTCCGTCCTCACCAGCCAGTCCCGCCAGCGCTCACTCATGCAGAAGGCAAAGCGGCAGAGTAGGTGTGACGTCACATCCTCCTCGGGTTGAAAGACGATGCTCGCTACCTGACTGCCACCGGCAGCGCTGCCCGTCGAGCCGCGGGAGGAGGAGCGACGACCGCCGATCACCACGCCACTGCCGGTATTCGCTGCCGCACCCGCCGAGTCGTCGTAGCCGAGCGAGACCGCCACCTTACCGCGAGCCGCCTCTGTCACTCCACTTGACCGTCGCTCCTCCGGCAGACGAGCCACAATGGCGTCCAGCACAGCCTCAAAGCTCTTCGTCTGCGGGGAGTTCACCTGCTGATCGATCCAGGCTAAAAACTCCATACGCTTCGCCACCATGGCCTCCAGCTCGAAGAGGGTGCTCTTTCCGTGTGGCTTGTGCTCGTACATCGTCATCCACTCGGCAGAAGTCGTGGCACCGAGTGGCTTCTCGAGAGGGCCGCCGACGCTGGACCGCGGAGAGGTGGCGGTGTTACTGGCTGTGATCGTCTGCATGATGAAGAGTCCGGTTTCGTTGTACACGTGCAGGATGTACCTCGACTGCGGTAGGATATATAAGAAAACACAAAGTGTTGATCTATGATTAGACCTTCTATTATGGAGAGAGTTCGTTTAATACGTGGAGCGCACGAATCGACTTGTGCTGCTTCGAGTCCACTCTTGTCTCTCGCCGCTTTCTGCTGCTGGGGCTAACAGAGATGAAAACCCCCTTACTTGATCAGAGCTGGTGACGTTACCAACGAAACGGAACCGCAGGTAGAAGAGTACTCAACGCGTACAAGGCGGCCTGAAAGCAGGACTGCTGATGTTGCTGCTGCTTACTTCAAGTTGCAGGGGTGAGAAGTCGAGAGAAGAGAAAGACAGAATGAAGCAACAGGTGATGCCCAAATTACGAGGCCTTGCTGGAGTTGTGACGACAACCACCACCACAAAGAGACGCTCCAATGCGGTGCTGCTGCCTCCGCAAAGCGAAGAAGAACAAAACAACTAAATGGCATAATATTAGAAAGACCCGTCCGAGCTGCGTAAGTAACCGTCATAAACGGTGGTCCTTCCGTCGGTGTAATGGGCAGAGAATCGACGGCGTCAGTTGAAATGCAGACACTCATCTTCTCCATTGCCATTGTATCGACTGTTGATGCACGTGTGTTTGTCCGTTTGTTTGTGCTTGTGAGCAACGATGAGAAGGAATAGAAGCATTTAGTTTTGAAGTTTCGCTCACGTGTGCCGCTAGCTGATCCCTTCGTACTGTTACGGTGATAGAGGGCGAAGGACCGGAAAGCACAAATGTGTAGATAGAGTCGCGCTCAGCGAAGTCCGCGATCGCGGTTCATGCGAGAAAACTCAAAAGAAAACATGAAGTCTCCACACAGTAGAAGCGAAGCGCAGTGCTCGCATGAGAAGTTACGTAGGCAGTTCTCTGCGTTGTTCGTTGGCCTCCCCCTCCCTCCCCCCTCCGCTGTCCGCACCTTTCCTCAATCCTGCACTGTGGGTGTCGGGGCAGTACATCCGGTGTCCCCCACGTTCGCGACGAGTCCCCGCTCACGCGTTCGTTGCCTGACGTCGGCGCACGCTGTAGCGCAAGGAGAAGAGCGACGGCTCGCGGTCCAGCTCATTGTCGCTGTCGCACATATCGACATACACCTTCATCTCCTCTTCCAGTTGGGGGTCGTACTTGTGAACGATGGCGCGCGCCTGCTTCGCCAAGTCCTCGCGACGCTCGTAGAGCTTCTTGAACTGCTTGTGCCGCGACACCAGCGACATGAACAGCGGCAGGGCTGCGCGCAGCTCCATAATCGCCTCTTGCAAGATTAGGAGTGACACGTACATGGCCATCGGGAGGGAAAAGAAAACCACGAGGGCGGTGCGCAGGTCGGTGTAAAGAAACACAACCAGCGAGACAAACATAAAAGCGGCGGGCACCACAACGAAGGAGATGAGAATCTTGAAGGAGCCCGTCACATCGGCACCGACAATTTTCACCGCGCTCGCCGACCGCGCCTGCTTCGTCCGCTTCAGTGCGAAGTACTTCACAACGCCGCCAATGGGGAGCCCTACGAGGAAAAATGGGACGAGAATCACCGCCATGAGGTAAAGCGCAAAGGTGCGGCGCAGCAGCAGCTCGACCTGCGGCGTCTCGCTGTCCGCGTTGAGGAGCTGCTTCAGCGTGGCCGCCTGACTGTCGCGCACCATCAACGCGCTGCAAAAGTCGGAGTAGTTCTCCACCTTCTCACGGAACTCGATGAAGTCGGGGCTGCCTTTCTTTTCCTCAATCACATTGCTCAGGCGGCGAATCAGGCGGAGGTAGTCGCGCGCCGACAGCGTGCAATTCGGCGGTTGGTAGAGCTGGCGGAAGGAGTGCAGAAAGTTGAGCGTTTGGTAGTCGGGCACGTTGATGGTGACGGCGCGCAGCGCGGCGTTCAGCTGCTCCAGGAAGAGCCCCGTCGCCTTTCGCTTGTCGGTGTCGAAGAGCCGCACCAACTCCGCCGGTGGCGAGATCGGCTCGCCAAACTCGATGTACGCACGGCTTCGAAACTTGTGCCCGTACAGGTAGGTCAGGCCCACCGGCACGATCTGCACGCTGATGTGGCGCTCCGCCGCGCCGAGGCTGAAGAGCGCCACCCCGGCTTTCAGCGGCAGCAGTGACGTGTGGTCGTGCGAGCCGCCTTCGGGGAAGATGCCAATGCAGTCGTTCTTCTGCAGCGTATCATACACCTTGGCGTACATCTCGGAGTGATCAATGCGGCGGGAAGAGTTGTAGCTCGTCGGCGCACACACCACGTGCTCCGGCGGGATCGGCACGGTGACCTCCACCTCCGCGTCGCTGCAGATGCGACTTACCTGTGCGACAACCTTCTTACACGCCGGGACCGCCCAGACCAGCACGTCGCCTTTTCTGAGCTTCGAGAACTTCGTCCCCTCGCCGAGAATCGTTCTATCGCTCGTCTTGATCAGCACTCCTTCCCCGGGGACCAGCGGCACGTCCTGCGGGCGAATCACCGGCACCGAGTTGAAGAGGCGGCCGACCCGGCCAATCACCGGCTGATGAAAAGCCTTCTCGGCCATCAGGAAGCGCACCGGGCGGCCGCAGTGCGAGTTCATCATCAGCGCGTCGATAAACTGGTTCTGATGATTGCCATAGAACACCACCGCGCCGGCGCGAGGGATGTTCTCGCGGCCCACCACGGTCACCTCGCGGAAGTACACGCTGCGCAGTATCCACATGAGCAGCTCCCCGAAAAAGCGCACGATGCGTTCATGGAAGGTGCTCACCTGTTCGACCATGTTCACTTTGCGCAGGCGGTCACGATGGTCCGGCCACTCCTCGACCGGCACGTTCTGCCCGCATTCTTCGCAGTAAACGAAGGCGCTGCGGCGGGGGGCACCGCCGATGCGGTCCTTCGACTTCATCGCGGACTTCAGCGCAGCAGGAGGTGCCGGCGTTGCCGGTTCGGGCGGGGCCGCTGCGTTCGCTTTTGGAGTGGTGGTAGAAGGCGCTGATGGTGATGGTGCGGAAGTTGGCGGCTCCGCCGTTGTTATGGCAGCTCGAACGGCTGCGGGTTCGGCCTCTGCGGCATCGTGTGCTGCAGAGGCCGCCCCCACGGTGGTTGTGGGCGGTGCGGCGGCATCCTGTGGCGGCTCTGTCGGCGCTTCGGCGGTTGACGACTCCGAAAAGGAGAACTTCACGGAGCGGTTCGACGCAGACATTCGGCGATGTGTGTGCGTGAACACGGAACGCTGCCGGAGTGCAAGTAAAAAGAGTATATAAGTTCCTTAACACGCTATCAGACGGCAATTGGTCACGTGCACGCTGCTGCTAAACGCGCGTGTGCGGGAGTGGGTGTGCTGCTTCGTGGCTGCACGTGCACGCGCGAGGGCGGAGCGTAGGAGAGTGCCGCGGAGATGTGTCGAGAAGGCCATGGAAGAGAGTTGATGTTGCTGAATTAGAGCGCTGACACAAAAAAGAATAAGAAGACGCAGGGAGCTCCACCTCACAGGCGCAGAAGTCGTGTCCCCATCGCTTTCAATGTGCATCCCGTGCGGTGCAGCGCAAACGCAAGAGTGAACAACACTCCCTGCACCGCTGCCAATTCAATGAGTTCGTTTCCCTTGTCACCAAAGCAGTACAGAAGCACCCCAACGCGGCTCTGCGAGGCCCCAAAGACGCCACAAACAAAAGCGAATAGAAATCGGAAACGTCACCCGCGCATCGCTGCTCCTACGAAAAGGCCATCTCTCGCAGCGCCTTCATGGAAGGCCTCTCCCCCCGCTCCCCGTCACGAAAGTTGTCTTCGTGAAGTAGTCCAAACCCAACAGGCGGCTTTCCGCGTTTGCCAGCGAGGCCCTTCTCCAAGATGCGCGTTGCCTCGTGATAGATGTCGCGTGTTGGGTCAGCACTGGCGTCCGCCGCTGCAGCAGCCGCCGCTACTGGTCTCTCCTCCGCCCTGGAAAGGTAAAGGATTTTCTCTGCTGCGAGCAGCGCGACGGGGGAGTAGGGATCCGCCAACACCGTCTTCCACGTGCGCACCTCCACCCCGCTGCGCTCGGTGCAGCAGTTGGCCAGCATCAGCACCAGCACGTGCCGCGCTCTGCAGACGGATGCCTCCTGCGACAGCGAAAGACTGCGGTACAGACCCCACAGCACCCGCACGCTGACCAGCTGTGCCGCACTCACCGGGATGCGCAGCGACTTCTCACGGAGGATCATGGTAGAAATGCTGCTCATGTCCCGCGACGTGTGCAGTGCGTAGCGGCCCTGCTTGGACGGCTCGCAGATGTACTCCATCAGGCGGTAGTACAGCGCCAGCGCCGTCCGCACCTCTAGCGGATCCTTGCGGTCAAACAACAGCACTTCCAACACGACGCGAAACGTGATGATGTCGCGCCGCGCCGAGGTGCGGCACAGCACCGAGAGTGAGGAGAGAAGGCAGATGCACAGGTGCCCCATGCGCGCTCGACTGCGCGTCCGGCCACGCTCATCTTTGAAGTCGACCAAGCTCCTCGTCAGCTTCTCCGTCAACGCTCGGTGCTTGTCTTCCGGAAGATACCGCGCGCTCCACCGCAGGCTGACAAAGGCCAGGCGCCACGCCGCGCTGTCCACCTTGCAGTCGCCCAAGTCCGTCTGCTCCTCGACGAGCTGCGGGACTGTGTCGGCCACCTCATTCAGTAAGTCTTGCAGGGCCGCCATGAAGGCGGCCTCGTCCTTGCGGCGGAGATCCTCGACGGCTTTAAAGCGCGCCTGCACGCTGCTCGCGAGCTCCGCGTCGTCAGCGAGAACCCCCAGCACCTGATCCGCCATCGGCAGCACCACGCTCCAGCTTTTCGTCGTGCCGTCGAAGTCACTCTTCACGAGACCGTCCGCGATGCGCCGCGGGAGTTCGCGCTGCACGTTCTCCGACATGTAATACAGCAGCGGCATCACGTACCAGAAAAAGTCCACCGATGTTAAATCACGCAGCGCACTGGCGCGCGCCTCCAGCGAGAGGACTTGGCTGGCGGTGCGTCCGCCATACTTCACGCTTTGCAGACCCTGCCGCCGCGCTGCGTAGGCCAGCAGGAGCTGGAAGAGCGCCTTTCGTGAGCCGGGCGTGGCGGAGTGGCGATACACGGTGAGGATGGCAGGCACGGCAAAGTTGCCCAGCTTGGCGAGCTCCGCCTCGTCAATGACTAAGTTCTCCGTCGCAGGGGCATCAACGTCTTTGTTCCGCAGCAGACTGCGTGCGAAGGCCGTCGCCAAGGTGCTGAACGCCTCGGGGTACAGTTCCCACAGCCCAGGCAGCTGCAGAACTTGAAAGAGCACGCGGCAGTCGGTGAGGTACTGGTAAGGCGGCGGCATCACCGCGAGAATACACTTGGCCGCCGCCGTCCACGTTGTCTCGTCACTGACCTTCAATACCGCTTGACGGCTCGTAATGGTCAGCAGCAGCCAGACCAGTTCCTGCTCCAGCGCTTCGGTGCAGCCCGGGTAGACGCCCGCCGGGTCCACCAGCTGCAGATGCACGCCGAGGTTCAGGATGAAGTCGTAGACGTGGTTGCGCACGCACAGGTAGTCGCTCTCCATCATATCCAGCAGCATGGGAACATAGCAAACCGTGACAGATCGGAAGTGCAGCGCCGCGTCCTGCAGCGGCAGCTTCGACACGTACCCGTCGCAGAGCTGCTTAATAAAGAAGAGGGTCGCCTGCACCACGTTGCGGTTCGTCTTGTAGTTGGCCGAGAAGGCACACATAAACTTCAGCTGCCGCTCCACCGTAGACTCGAGGCACAGCAGCGGGAACTGCGCCAGGTACGGCTGGCTCCACACCCGCCGATACACCACCTCGGCGTAGCACTTCTGCAACTCGTTCTTTTTGACGGACACGTCCATCCATTTGGCTTCTTGCACGGCGGTCACGGGCACGTGATGGTTGGCGTTGTTGCTCGCTGCGTTGGCCGCCCCGCTCGCGGGTGACGTGGACGCCGAAGGTGCAGCCGACGGCATATCGGACTGCAGAGAAAACTCCGAGGCGTAGCCAAACCTCGACGACGGGGTCATGCGGGCCGCCAGGCCCTCCAGCGGCGCCTCGCGCAGCAGCGATTCCGTCAGCCTCAGCAGCTCCTGACTCACATCAGCGGTGGAGTGCAGGTGACAAAAGCTCTCAATGGCGCGCAGACAAGCCAAGGATGGCGGGAAGCTGTGAACGTAGTTGCGCAGGAGCATCATAATGCGCTGTCGCCGTCCTGGGTCCTGGGCGAGGTCGAGGCAGCACTGGTACACGTGGTTGCGTCCATTCGCGTCGTACAAGAAGCGGATGAGACGAGCGGAGGCTTCGCTGTCGAGGCGACCACGGGCGCACCGCGCCGCCTCCGTTAAGATGATTTCACTCAACTCGGAATTCTCCATTGTAAGAGGCTCATTGAGCGAGAGGAGAAAAGCACGGAAGAGAACGTCGATAACGGCTACACGAGAAGACAAAAGAGAACTATTTACCTTTTAAAAAGCGTTGCCGCTGTGTTGCGTATTCCGGGAGTTTATCTCTCCACCCGTCGCATTCTATTCGTGCGCGATGGAAAAAACGTGTTCAACGGGAAGATGAAAAGGGAGGGAGAGGACAGCTGGAATGGTGAGAGAGGCAAGCGAGAAAGCCTCTGCGTCGATCAGCACCGTAAGCTCTGATGGACACACACACAGGAAGGGCTGTGCCTTTTGAAAGCTTGCGCCAGGAAAAATTCGCCGGGAGATGCATCGAAAGCTTCATGTTGTATACTCCCCCTTTCTCTTCTCTCTCCTCCAGTCGACCTCTCTCCACGAAACGCTGTTTTCTTCCGTCACACCATACCCAAGTTATACTCGCCACAAATCATGCTCACCACGAACACTCAGCAGACCATTTCTGAGGACAACTGGACCCGGCTGGGACAGGCTGTAGCCGAAGTACTGCCTCGCAATGAGCAGATTGAGGCGAGGATAACCTTTGCGCACCAAGGTAGAACTTTCCAGGATACATACATGGTGAAAAAGTCCGATTTCGGTGTATCGGTTCTCAAGGGTGACAATATGGCACCCTGGCGGAACGTGAAGAATTGCCTCCCCCCGATTGTTGACGTCCACTTCGGAGAGCAGCACGGCGCCGTCGCAGAGAAGTTCCTCGAGAACTCTACCTCGCGGGTCACAGTCTCTCAAGACCTCGACGACTCCCGCTCCTTCTGGGAGCAGGAGCGTTTCTCGTTCTTGCAGCAGCACATGTCCTGTCTACGGGCTGTGATGCAGCACCGACTTGACCCGCGAGAACTTGCGGTCGGATCTCGCGCTGGAACGCCAGGACCAACGGTACCAGTACGCCCTCGAGTCGCAGGCGCCTGGCCATCAGGCGACGGAGCAGCGTATGACGCTGGAGTACGAGCGGCGTGCGATCAGCGATGAGAAACGCCGGTGTGAGCAGCTCAGGAGAGAGGTAAGGCAACAAAGGGCCGCAGTGGAAGACCGCCAGAGACAGCTGGCGGAACAAGAGAAGAGCCAGGCTGCCGCGAGGCAAGCGTTGGAGGGAAGCTGGGAGCGTCACCGCCTCGAGACCGAAGGGAAACGGCGCTCTTCACAAGAGAAGGCGCCGTCTACACCTCGTCGCAGGGCAGAGGCGGAGCACCGCGCTCTGGAAAGGGAAAGGGCGTTCGTTGCAGAGGAACGTTCTTTCATTGAAAAGCGCTCTGCTCTGCTCCAACAGGGGTTTGAGGAACTTGCATTGGCGCGAGAGGCCCTGGCCAAGGATAGAGCGTTGGCCACGGTGCAGCAAGAGGAGCTATCGCGCCTGGAAAAAACGTTGACGGAGAAGGAGAACCGCTTATCCTCTGCCCCTCCTCAGCCCTCCGTCCCCCAAGTAGACACGCCCCTCAAGGCTCCGGTGCCCATCGCGGCCAAAAAGATAGATTTCGTGGCGTCGGATGACGAGATGGTCTCCGACACCTCCTCCGATTCTGTGGCCGCGGAGCTTCGCGCCACCAGTGACCCTCTTCGGTATGGCCGGGGGGCACGGGTAACTTCGGCTCGCCACAAGACGAGTTCGGCGTACCGCGACCCCTCCGCCCCAGCATTTGACTCGGACGATGACCTCGAAGAGCCGGACTTTCCCACCACTGTGAAGATGCACAAGGTCAACACGTGGCTTCCGTACCTTACTCCCCGCAATGCACCTCTTTCGCTGCTCGAGTTACGCAGCAAATACATGACCGGCCCCGCCACGACAGACCCGGTATCGATACGGATGTACGAGCAGCTCCGCATGTGGACCATGGAAATAGCGAAGCAGCGCTGCTCCACGGATGAGTTGCGCGGATCTGGGGCAGTCGCTTCTGCACCAGCTTCGCCTCACAGGGATGAAGCTGCACGACCCCTCGCTCGACGTCAAGTCTGTCCAGATGCTGGTGGATGTCGAGGAAGATCCGGACGACGTTCTCCTGGCGGCCGTCGCCAAAAGCAAGCCCCTCTCCAAGCACCCGAAGGACGCGCCAAAAAGGCGAGGAACACAGGCCGGCCCCCGATCCCGCTCGACCTCCCCGGCGCAACGCCCCCGCAATTCCGACGCCGGCATGTACTGCTCGTACTGCAAGCGCTACGGCCACAAGACAGAGAGCTGCTATTCGCGGGGAAAAAACAGGAGGCCGCGGGGGCGCCAAATGAAACGCACCCGCCCCCGGCCTCCCTGTTGCGACCCTGAACGACGCATCCATTCTTCTGGCAACGCGCAACGCCAACAGCCTCCTCCGCGGCAAAGGCGACCCGCTGGGCTGAAGTGCGTCCTTTGTGCCGCAGGACCTTCTTCCTTCAACCGAACGGAGAAGTTATTCTCGATTGGGCTGCAGTTCCAAAGAAACAGCGCGGCTAGACCCCTTTCGAGCGGCACGTTATGTACGAATTGCAGGTTACGATTCCCAGCTGCTGAGGTATGTGCAACGGACGCGCAAACCAGACCGTAGGTCTCACAGATAAGTTTGTCCGCAAGTGCACCGCATCTCCGCCCCCGTTGGGACATGGCCATAACACATTTCGCACTTTTCGTCTGGCACACATTTTTTGCCGCCACTGGCCTTGACATACCAATGATCGATTACTATTCTATGCTAGAATTAATATTTGGCGTCAATTATCAGTGGTGAATCCTGCGGCTCAAGCGAGTGACCTACAGCGCTGCCCTTTACGAAAAATACATTAAGGTCAGCGCCGCTGATTATATGCGGCCATCACTGCAAACACAGGAAGACGGATGGAGACTTCCCTCTTCGAGGTGGAGTGCATTTGTTAGTCCCCCGCATGGACCACCGTTAGTCGCGTCGGGGCGATGTTCTCACAAGCCGCGCCCCATCATGAAGGCAGAAGCACGGGGCGTATCATTACGCCGAGCTCGGTCTTGTTCCACCACGTACGTAGTGTGGTAACGGTTTCTTTCTTGGCTAAGCGTGTGTCTTACCTCCATCGGCAAGAGCCTGTCCCAGCCGGGTCCAGATGTCCTCAGAAATGGACTGCGGAGTGTTTGTCGTGAGCATGATTTGTGGGGAGTATAATTTGGGTATGGTGTGACGGTGGGAAAAAAGAAAACAGCCCTTCCTGGAGAGAGGTCGACTGGAGGAGAGAGAAGAGAAAGGGAAAGTATACAACATGAAGCTTTCGATGCATCTCCCGGCGAATTTTCCCTGGCGCCCGCCTTGAAAACCTAAAAAAAGAGGGAAAACATCTGACGCAGTCAGCACAGCGAACTTGGACGGGCACGCACAAGAAGGAATGCGTTTTGTGTTGTGCTACGCATTGCGGAATCGTAGCTGATGCGACGCACATCTCAAACTCCAGGTTTCTGAAAAGCGAATGTTGCTGCATTCCTTCATCGCTGGGGTCGACGTTTAGCGGCGTATTTGGAATGCCCAACAAAGACAACAAGGCCAGTGGTTAATTTTTGGTTTCATTTTTATTATTAGCGGAGCCCCACAGCACCAGAAAGAAGCGTGAGAACAAAGAAGATAGAGAATCAGAAGGGATGCACTACAGCAGCACAAATGTTTTTTTCCTTTCTTAACTGAACACGAGATCCGCCACATAGTGGAAGCGCTTCGGCGCGTACGACTTGACGCAGCGCAGATCAGCAAGGCTGACGGCGGCCGCCACCTCCGCCCCCAGCTCCTCTCGCACGTCCCGCATCGCCTCCTGCGCGGCTTGCGGCTTATCGGCGAGAAAGTGGTAGTGAATCGCGCCCACGCTTCGGCCAGCCTCGTTCCGCTTCAAGAACGACAGCGCGCGTGGCAGAAATGACTTACAGGTGGGAATGTAGCCCATCAGTACCCGATCGCACTTGCCCACCGCCTCATCGCCCACCACACGATTATCGCCGCAAATCGGGTAAAGCACGTGATCCACCCTATTCAACACCGCATTGACTTTAATAAAATCTACACTATCTGGATTCTTCTCTAGGGCGTAAATCGCCCTCACCTTGCCGTTCATTGCGAGGGGCAACGTAAAGTAGCCGATGCCGCAGAACATATCGACGACTGTCTCGCCCGCCGCGTCCACGGTGGCAAAGTGCATTCGCTCTGTGGTGTTGCCGCTGCTGAACATCACCCGCGACACGTCGAGGCTGAACAGCACTCCGTTCTCAACGTGCGTGGTGTAGGTGGGGGAGGTGGTCCACTTGGTGAGGATGGTCTCCAGCTCCGTCGCAGACACACTGCGGACCGGCAGCGCGACTTTGCGGGCATCGCCCCAGCGGCGCCGCAGGGTGCGACGCAGCGAGGCGGCGTAGTCTGTCAGCGCCGTCGCGGACTGGTAAAGAATGTGCAGCGACGGCTGGCGCAGCTCGCCCACAATGCCCTCCACATCCAACAGGACGACGTCCACCAGCACAGGAAAAAAGGCGGCGGCGAAATACGAAGCCAGCGGCTGCAGCTCCGCCTCTGTCGTGCCCTCGTTGAGACGCACAACAACGACGTGTCCGTGCACTTCGAACTTGCGAGGAAAAAGGCGCCGCGCAGCTTCAGCTGACACGTCAGGAAACGCAGCGCACACCTGTTGTGTGAAGACATCGATTTTCTGTGGGGCGGTGCCTTTATAGGGTTTTCGATGGTTTAGCTTATCCGCGCTGCTGTCGCTCACATTTTGGCCGCCTTTTTTGATTTGCCTGGGCTTTCTGGCGTCGTCTGGGGCGTGGAAGAAGTGCCGCACGAGAAGGTAGAGGAGGACGGCGAGGACGGCTGCAGTGAGAAGGGAGCGCGATGGCTGGGCGATCATCTGGGCAGCGGTGTTCGTCGTTTTCATCCACCCTGGCAAATGGTGACTAGAACGGGTGTCTTCTTTGTTTCTTTAAGGAGGAGTTTCTCTCTCTGAAACCGTCGCCAGCGAACCACTCCTTTTCTGTCGTTGTTGTTGACGACGATGCACGGCTCATTCGAAAAAAGAAAAGAAAAGCATGTAAGTGTCGGTGAGATGCACCAGAAAGCAAGGCAACGTGGAGCACCGAGAGAGAGAGAGAGAGAGAGGGAAACACTATAGTTTACTTGATCATATCCACTTCCCGTTTGCAAGATCACTTTCATCGCTCAAACAGCTGCGACGTGCTGTTGGGAAATCTGGATCCTATGCAAACCTCGGTTCCGCATGCACCTAGGCATGTTCTCCCTTTGCACGTGTTTGAACGTCAATCATTTCTCCATTCAGTTTCTCCTCCGGCTCGCATTAGCAGAACATATGCCTTTTTAGGGGCTATTGTTCACCATTTTTCGTTTCGAGACTTCGCAGATCATCGAGAGTGCTGCAGAAAGGACTATACAGGAGAGGTAAAAGAAAAAAGACAACACCGTGAAACCGACAGCAAAACCGACGTGTGGTGTCTCGCACCGAGACGGCCGCAACGCACCAAGCACGAAAAAGGCAGAGGCACGTATAAGATGAAATCACATAACAGTAGCACAATCACCACAAAGGAGGGAAAGACCCCTGCTACAGCAGACGAAAGACGACCTTGCCCAAAGCTGAGTGCTCCTTCACAAGCTCGATATCAAGTTCACAAAGCACGCGCAAACGCACCCTTCCCACTACTACTGCCACAGTGATAAGTTGGAGGCAAGAAAATGAAAGTGTCATTCAACACTGATAAGCACTCAATAATAATAATAATAAAGGAAGTAGAGGGCCGAGAAAGAGAAGAAACTCTGACACAACAATACACCAACAAACCCACAGGCACACATACGTGTGTGCTTGCCACATCGTCTTATTCCTGTGAAAAAGTGAAGTCAAATTCGATGCAGCACTTGTCGCTGCACTTCTTCGACAGCTTATCCACCTCTCTGCCGCTGTACGTCTTCTCCATAAAAAGAGTGTTGATGGACAGCACACCGATGAGCGAGTTGTTGGAGCCGTAGAACTCAAAACGCAGATCGCCGCTGAGCTGCCGCAGCCGCCGCTCGCCCTCGCACATCAACGTCAGCACGCCGCATTCCACCCCGTTCTCCGTGATGGTGTACGTGCGATCCACGTGGAGACCTTTGCTCGACTCCCGCACGTTAGCGGCGTAGTGCGGCACTTCCTTGTTGTTCACCAGCAGTGTCAGTGTGTGCAGCGACCATTTCTTGGGCATCGCTACAAATCTAATGCGCGTGATCGCAATCGTCGGCAGCGTCGCAGGGACCTCGCCGTTGTAATCCGCCAGCAGACGTGCGTAGTATTCCACCGAGCGCCGCTGGCTGGGCACCGTCAGTCCATTCCCGTCCTTGGTGCGCTTCTCTCCGTAGTACCGCATAACTGTGTCAGCAGATTGCAGAAACGCGGGGTCGAGCGCGAGAAGGAGGCAGCATGCCATCACGCCGGTACGACCTTTGCCGGCTTTGCAATGAATCACCGCAGCTCCGTGTGGGTGCTCGGCTAAGTATTCCTTCACGTCCTTCACAAAGGCGGGCATCAGTTGCAGTGGTGCCGCCGCGTGATCGAAAAACGGAAAACATCGCACCCGTCCGTGGAATTTGTCTGAGCCGTACTGGTAGGCACACTCCCGACAGAGATTGTACACCATGTACTCCGTCTTGTACTTGTAGTCCAGATACCGCAGGACGTCCTCATACTTGTTGCGGTAGAGCGCCTCCACGCCGTTTGCGGGATAGCCCATGCACACGATGCCAGGGTGGATCTCCGTCAGGTCTAGATCAATCCCGCCGCGCGGAACATCCTTGTCCACCGTCCGCAGCTTCTTTTGACTAACAAGATATCGTGCCTTCTTCATCACGGTGCGCAGTTTCAGTTGTTTGTCTTCTGCTTTTTGCAGCAGCTAGTTTAGCTACGTGCGTATGTACGTGTGTGTCTCCGCGTGTGCTGACAGAAGCGTCGACCAAAAACAAAAAGACAAACAAAAAGAGGGAGGGGCTGCACCGTTTGCGCTTTCCCCGAAACCCCTACACCCCTCTAAGCCGTCTCCCCATTAAAAACCCCGAAAAGAAGCGTTACACAGGCGTCAACGCGTGACTCCCGACAGGCGTTGCCGGTGCCTCGCTCAACCGCTGCAAGACGAAATTAGGAATGGGCAGGCGTGCAGAGGGAGTGCCCAGTACGGACTCAAGTCCCTCCTAGCGTGGCGAAGGAGTCGGGGACAGACTTTAGAGGAGAGTTGAGTTGTAGAGGAAGACGAAAGGGAAAAGGGGAGAAGCGTGCACGTTCGCAGACAAGAAGGAAAGAAAGAAAAAACAAACCTGTGACATATTTATTGCACTCTACGCCTGACAACCACCGAATTCACTTCACTGAAAACAACGCGATCTCTTGCGTTCGCAGTGCAGACAAAGTGCAAAACGACAAATGTTACAAAACGTGTTCGATGAAGCACGTGAACTTAGAGCGAGAAAGTTCATCTGCTGTCCGCAACGTCTCCAGCACAAATGACCGGGAAAGAAGCTTTTCATTTGTGCAGCTTTGAGTGTTATGATCACGATTCAAACGAACAAAAAGGTGAACACGCAAATCAATGTGTCACTCTCCCGTCTTCAAGGAGGCGCGATTTGTTGACGATAGGAACAACAAGTGGTTTCAGATAGCACTGGAAAAATAAACGTCAAAAAAAAAAGAAAGAAACTCAGCGACACTTACCCCTTTCCTTAAAAAACCTTTGAAGGACGCTGAAACCGAATAGCGGAGTTACAGGACGCCAATGCGCCCTCCTTTTTTGACGCGTTTCAATGAGAGTAATAGGATGAGAACCACAGAATTAACGGACCTGCCTACAGCTTACTCTTTTGCTCAAGGCGGTCAATTCCCATAGACTTCAAGGCTTCCTTTGCGCACTTCATCAAGCGGTCGCAGTCCTCCAGCGACGTGTGGCCGATAATGCCAAAGCGAAACGTTTCCGCGTGAGATGCCTTGCCGGGGTAAATCACAAGGCCGCGGTCGTTGAGGTACGTGTAGAACTTCTTAAAGTTCCAGCGAGGGTCCGTCGGCATGTTCACGCACACGACAATGTCGGCGTAGCTGGGCTTCGTCTCATCGAGGAAGAGAGTGAAGCCCATCTCTTTGACTGCCTTGCGCACGAGCAGTGACTTGGCGTGGTACGACTTCTGACGCCCCGCCAAGCCGCCTTCGCGCTTGTACTCAATGAGGGCCTGCTGGAGCGCCATCACCACGTGCACCGGAGGCGTGATAGCAAACTGCCCGCTTTTATCAAACGCGACGAGCTCCATCGCGAGGTCCAGCGTCGCGCTGCGGGAGCACCCTTTAGCGGCCATGATGACCGACCGGCGCGCGAGGATTATGGAAATGCCCGGGACACTGTGCAGGCACTTGTTCGGCGTGGTCACGAGGATGTCACATGCCTTCGCAACGCTGAAGGGAATGCCGCCGAACGCACTCACTCCATCCACAATAATTTTGGCAGCCGGAACAATGCGGTGCACCGTGGCGGCAATCTTCTCCGCTGGGTAAACCATCCCCGTACTGGTCTCGTGCTGCACGAATCCGACAGTGGTGATGTCCGGGTTCTCGCGGAGAATCGACTCCAGTGCGCTCATCTGCAATTCTTCGCCTTCACGCAGCTTCAGCATCACCATTGAGCATCCTAGCCGCTTCACAATGGCTGCCTGCTTCTCCGAGTACTTGCCAGAATTAATAAGGAGATATTTGCCTCCCTTTCGAGGGAAGATAGTCGAGATGGCGGCCTCAATACCCATCGTGCCAGCTCCCTGCTGCAGAATGCAAACCCACTCCTTGGGATCGAGTTCAGCAATGGAGATGACCTCCTCGCGAATAAACTTCACGGCATCCATGAAACGGCGGTCCCGACTGCCATAGTCTGTCATCATGGCTTCCTTTACCGTCTCAGAGGTCATCAGCGGACCCGGGGTGAAGAGAATTGGCTTCTGCGCTGGTGGCATCGTTGCCTTATGCAAAAAGAAGAAGACCTTGAAAATGTAGATTCACTTCTCTCACCACGCCGTTATCCAAAACCGGCTGTTTTGCAATTCAGTAATAAAGAGAGGGAAGGGAAGAAATAGTTTTTGCAAAGACGAAAGTGAAACCCAAACAAAGCGTACCTATTGGAAGGTGTTTCCTTTTTATCTACCTAGCAACAGCTTCGCATTTCGAACAGCGCGCAGTTCCGAAAAAAAAAAGAAGAGCTAGAAGGTCGACTAGGCATAACTCCGAGATATTGAACACTTCTGTTGCTGACGCGTGACCCATAGGAAAAAAGATTTATTGCTTTGTCTCTTCTTCTGTTAGTTTGCCACTTCTCCCATGATGGCCTGGTCTTGAAATGGAAATACCTTAGAAAGGGCAGGTGCTTCACTCTGTCTGCTGTTGTACAGATACGTTATGCCGGGGACTCGAAAGAAGAAAGTGTAAAAATGCCGCCTTTTGTCTACAGAGTCTCGAAGATGAACATACACGACCTATATCAATGAAGATAGATAAATGATAATCGTAACGATAATAAAGGAAAGAGCTCCATTTTGAAAATGTTAAAGAAAAATTCTCAGTAGCGCGAGCAGAGAGCGAACGCAGAAAGTGCATTAGTGCTCTTGTTCAAAAGTACAGTGATGCTCCATATGCACAAACAACAAAAATGTGATAGCGTGGAGACTTCGGAGACAAAGTCGTACAAAACAAAACATAAGTTCCTGTTGATTCAGCTCTTTTTGTGTGTGTGTGTGTGTGCAAGTGACGATCCAGAACTCAAACCGTATATCAACATATGAAAGCACAAGAATCATGTGGCAATACCAGAATACCAATCTACTACGAAGCTTCATCTACAGGTTAAATCAAGCGTGTGTCACACAAATAATGCTGTGGTAAAAAAAAGTTCAATCCCCTGCCCGTCTGATAGACGAGTATTAGACACATTTGGATGAGCGCAAGAGTGAATTGCGTCACACGAAAACATGTCAAAAGCTACGTTGCTTTCTTTTCTTTTAACGAATAATCAGGGTCCTCATGCTGCAATCAAGCGAAGCAATACGTGTGCGCAACTCCGCCGCAACATCCTTATCAACGTCCATGATAAGATATCCGATGGCTTTGTAAGTCGACAGAAACTGCATGCCAATGTTACAATCCAGATCTACCGCGATCTTGTTAATATCTTTTAATGCACCAGGCACGTTGAGGTGCACATTTGTGATGCGAAAGTTCGACTTGTCCACCGGTGGCGGGACAAGCTGAGGAAAGTTTACCGCACCCACCGTCGTCCCACTTGTGACGAATTGTGCAAGTGCCGAGCCGACCTCCATACCAATTGCGGCCTGCGCCTCGCACGTGGATCCACCGATGTGCGGAGTAAGGATCACATTCGAGATACCCTGTAATGGGGTCTTGTGCAGCTCCTTGTTGGAGCCGGGTTCCTCGGGGAAGACATCGACGGCAGCGCCGCACAGGTGTCCGTCGCGCAATGCTCGCGCCAGCGCCTCAAGGTCCACCACGGAGCCCCGACTGGCATTAATGAGATAAGATCCCTGCTTCATCAGTCGAATCTCTTCCTCTCCTAACATGCCTTTGGTAATCTCCGTCTCTGGCACATGGATGGTGATAAAATCGGAAACCGTCAACAAATCGTTAATGTGAGAAAATTTTGTAGCATTCCCGATGACGAGTGTTGGAACCACGTCGTAGAAAATGACGTTCATGCCAAGCGCCTCTGCAAGGACGCCAACCTGAGAACCTATGTGGCCGTATCCCACAATACCAAGCGTTTTTCCGCGAACCTCGTAACACCCAACGTGGGTTTTGTTCCAGATGCCACGGTGAACTTCCTCGCTGCGCTGCGTCATCTTGCGCGACAGCGAAATGATCTCTCCAATCACAAGCTCAGCAACACTGCGTGTGTTTGCGAAAGGCGAATTAAACACGGCGACACCACGCTTGTTGGCGTAATCAAGGTCCACCTGATTCGTGCCGATGCAGAAGCAACCAATGGCGAGCAGCTTCGGCGCAGCGTCCAAAATTTCCTTCGTCACCTTCGTCTTGCTGCGGATACCAAGGAAATGAACATTTGCAATCTTCTCGAGAAGAACATCGCGATCCAAAGCACTCGGCAAGGCCTCTACGACGCAGCCCTTGGACTCGAGCAGTTCCTTCGCAGCAGGATTCACACCTTCCAGAAGGAGTGCGTGGTAAGGTGGGTCAACGGCTATGTTTTTCATTTTCAAGTGCAGGCGACAACGTAAAGCTCAATCAGAAAATACCCGAGCAATACAACAATGAAAGAAAGTGGTTTGACCGCCACGCTGAAATAGTGATAGTAACGGCTGAGTCTTTTAGGGGGAAAACAAGCAGAGCCTAGTGTATCACTTGAACGTTCCGCTACTTTTCAGTGAATGGAATAGTAGAAAAACAAAAGTATCGCACTATGCGGGATAGAACAAGGGTGCGCCAGTAAAGCTACCGGTATTTGAAGATTAGGAGTCACATTTGCAATTAGGTAAATGATTAGAATTGAAGAAGAACAATAAGTTTAGTAGATGGAGAGAGAAAAAGGAGCAGTACCTCATTCTGATCCGCTAATCTAAGCGTTACCCACCCGGATAACAAAGAATCCTCCCATCTGCTCCAGATGTTCAAAAGAAACAGAGGCGTAAACAACTAATTTCTTTTTCATTTAATACACAGTAAGAGAACTCGACGAAGCGCAGAAAACACAACGCAAATCTGCGGCAACTTTTTCTCTTTCGCACGTGGAGCGAGTGCGTGAACAGGATTCTTTAATTTTCTGTTCGATCTGAAGTACGAAAATAATAAGAGGGTGCACATAGGAGCCACATATATTCGCAAGTACACACCTCATGCTTTGTTTCTGCTGCAGCGATCTCGAGTCTGATCGTTTCACCAGTAAAAAAAAAGGAAAAGTAATGAAAAGCACTAAAAGAGAATATTTCCCACCAGAAAACAGAGGAGCGCACCTAACCGGCTTCAACAGATCGAGAAAAAAAAGGAATAAAAAGACATTCATATGAGCCAACTTGAATGAACGGCTTTTCAAATTGAAAAAGAAGAGGAAGAAAAGAAAACTGATAGGTAAAGAAACGCGAGTTTATGACAAGACCAGCTCGAAGGAACGTCGGCAACTCGCCAAAACTAGTTCAACCCAATTTCTGCTACTCTTTAGGTTTCTCTGGTGAAGCTGGAAAAGGAGCTGCGGTTGGCTTTTTAACCAATTTGATGGGTGAAGTTTTCGGAGTTTTCTCACCTCTGCGCGCGGCTTCCATAATTCGCTCAATCCTTTGCGCTGCCTCCTCCTTCACCACTTCAAAGTTCTCTGGAACCTGAAAGACACGCTTGAGAGAAACCCATTCGATGCCCACACGCAGCCCGCGATCAGGAGAAACCATCACCGTTTCTTCTTTGATGCTTACATCAACGATATTGCCGGTGACGATCATCGATGTGCCGAGAAGCAGGTGGCAGCAGTGCGTCCCTTGAAGTTTCGTGGCCACTTCTGATGTAAGTCTTTGACGCGATAGGTCAAAGAGAAGTTCCAGACCAAGATCGCTTAGAGGAAAGTCGACGTATTTGGAGATAAAGCACCCTTTGCCTGGAGTTTTTTCGATAACTTCGCATTCCACTGGGGCACTTGGAGTGTTTGCCAACGCTTCGGCGGTGCTTTCAGGCGAATGCTGTCGCTTTCGATGCGCTACGGTGTTTGTGGTCGTTACCTTCACGTCTTGAGACACCGTGAGTGAGTTATCGTGACTGGCGCTCCTCGCGGGTTCAACTGCGTTATCCGACGATGATGACGACTCTCGTTTGACTTCAGTGTTCCGAGTTTGTCCCTGGAGTATCGATGTTCCATTAATCCTTTTCGGAAACCGTGCTGTCCTCGCTCCTCTCGCCTCACAGACAAACTTGAGAAATTCTTGCAGCGGCACCAAGTGCCTCTTGTCGCCACCACGGTTGGACATTTTTCCTTATATCGAAGTGTCTGGCCAATTTGCATATAATCATTCGGTTTTGAGAGCCCGAAGGAAAATGAGTTAACAAGAGGAGAGGGTGTTAACACGTTGGAAAGTGATTGAGAGAGGTTCGCCAAAGAACCGACAGTGTACCACATTGGTGCGGTGGTATGAGTGCTCGATTCACTAGCAGGAAAACCTGTACACCTCAAAGGTGGAGTGAAGAGGGCAGATGTGGTGACGAAAAAACGCTCAGAACAAAAGCCTGCGACAGAACAACTAAACCGTTTTGCATTATTCTTTGTACCGTGAAACTAAAAGTTGAACGCTAACAGCAACAGCACGTGTTCTGTGCACAAGCAAAAGAGTTTGCGTTTGCTGAAAACCAGCACCACACGTGCTTTCCGGGATACCTCCAGAGAACGGGCCCTTTCGAGTGAAACGAGGCTTCACCCCCCCCCTCTCCTCACATGCTTTGTGTTTTCGTTCTTGGAGTGTACTGGGTACAATAAAATCACATTTTTCCCCCTTCTCTCTTGAGCCACGCGACTTCAGCGGCTCGACATTGCCTTTACGTCTATACGAAGACTCGAGGCGCTGAAAACGTGGCTTCACCTCTGCTTTTCCGCAACATCAGTGCCTGCACATCTGCCGAAGATTTCTCGCCTCTCACGGCAACCAAGCAAGTTAGAACGTTGTTGATTAGACACTGTCATGTAGAGTCCCTCGACGTACTGTGCGGTGCGACTGCCCGGCTGGATGCGCTAGAAGTACGTAGGTGCCTAAAGCTCCGCGACCATTCCGCACTCTCCAGCGCTACAAAGCTACGGCGCGTGTGTCTTCGGTGCACACAAGTGTAGAGTCTTGCAGCTCCACAGTCCACGGCGTCTGTCTTATGAGCAATGGATGTGATGGCTGCCTCAATCTTGTAGGCGTCACCGCGCTGTCCTAAGCAACTTCTCCCTGAGAGACCAAACGAGGCAACCCTTTCGTCAGCATTGTCGATCCCTTTTTGGCGACTGAGCTTTGCCTCGAGGTTATAGAAGTTGCTGGCTGTATGAATCAGGAAGCAACACAGGCCTCCAAGAAAGCCTCAATGAGGAAGAGGTTTATTCACGATTGAGGAACCAACACGGAGCATCTATTGCACCTGCGGTCAGGCTTATCGGAAATCCGAAGAGAACTGTGCGACAGCTACGCATTTTTTTGATAGTTTACGAAAGGAATGGTATTATGCAAAGAGTAAGAATGATACGAGGAGGATGAGGAACAATGGCTCCGACATTTGCTGATGACATGTTTTCTACCTCTACTACTCTCCCTCGCTCTTCTCCTTCGTCTTATCTTTGGGACTTGCAGAATCAAAGTTCTCACACAACTCTTGAGTGTTCTTCTTTTCGACCTACCGACCCCCGTGGTTGCCCACCACGACAAGGATCCTTGGGTTTAACCAATTCAACTACCCTTGTTTGCCACTTCGTTAGTAGTGCTACCTATTAGAAAAAATGGAAAAAGAGGAAATCGCCAAGTCCAGTGCACCATCGTCCCCTGACCTTGTAGGGAGTAAGTTTGGCAGCGGGACGCTGCGCGGGGTGAATAGATAATATGTTGGAAGTTCATCGCGAGTATGGAGCGTGGAATCATGTCTCAGCTAATGCATCTCTCTCGGACTCTTTGCACCTCTCGATTCTTCTATTCTTCTGTCTAACACTTTTTCGTAAACGGAAGCATCACAAAGCCTTCTCTTAAGCAGCACCTTTTTAAGGTGTTTTTCTCTACTACGCTTTCTCGTTTCCTTTCCCAAAGCTAACAAAGGCTAACAGCAACGAAACGCTCTCACATCACGCAGCGATGATGCTTCCAGATTACATTGAGTTTGAAGAGGACAACGGTGATTCGCTGCCGGATGAGTTTCGGTGCCTCGTATGCTACGGACCTCTTTCTTGTGCAGTGAACACCGCCTGCCAGCACCGGATCTGCCGCAGCTGTTCACAGAAACTTCAGGAAGACGGCAAAACGCAATGCAGTTTCTGCATGCACCTACGAAACACAGAGGAAGACGTGGAGCTCAGCAAGCGTGTCAACGAATACGTGAAACCGTTTCTTTTAGCCAAAGCACATGAACTTCTCGAGGAGCTTTTTCCGCCGCCACTGCTTACCGTCATTCCACAGTTTGCCGACCGTTTCATGCAAACGGACCCCCACCGGCTGCACTTGACACGCCTTATATACGAGCTGAAGAACTTGAAGGAGTATCTTTCTCGCAATCCAGTGGACATGCAGAATGCTGGCGGCATTTCCAGCCGGATCGTCGCCTGCACGTCTCAGAAGGAATTCGACGCTGTTCGAGGCAGGGAAACCGTTCTATCACTTACGATACAGGGTACCTGGTGTGTCACGCTGGACCTGCTATTTAGCGAATTCAGCAGTGTACACGAGCTGAACTTGAAGGGCTGCGCCCAACTGTGGTCGCTATCAGGCGTGGAGTGCTTGCGGTCACTCACGCACCTCATCGTGGAAGACTGCGGCGTGGTCGGTGCGTGGGGCATCGAAGACTGCCCGCATCTCTATCATATAGAGTTCAGACGCTGTCCAGAATTCAGAGGACTTTCTTTGCTGCGAGGCGAGCGGAACATCGCAGCGGCAAACGACAACTCTCAGCAGCTTGGTGTGGTGCGCATCTCAGAGTGCCCTCTGTTCGAATACATTGAGACTACACCTTCTGCTTTAACGCTGCGTGAGCTCACTGTGTCTTATACGAGGTTTTCAGATCTTACTGATCTCCGTTCTTGCAGTTCCCTTGAGCACCTCGACGTGAGCGGCTGCCACCGACTCACCGACCTCAGCCCGGTCAAAGATTTACAGCGACTTACGTGGATCGACATTTCTGACACTTCTGTGGCAGACCCGCTTGCAACGTTGTCCCAGCTGGCACAGCTGACGGAGGTAAAGATGAACGGGTGCAACGCGCGAGGCGACCTCCGTGAACCGGAAACCGCAACCGCCCCGAGGGCTGTGGAAGCGGCCCGGGCAGCCGTCACGAGACTGCGCCGAAAGAGGAGACAGCGCCAACGTGCGTGACATGCTTCACATGAAGAAGCGCTGTGAGAGGGCAGATACTTCGCATACGAGTGCAGTGACTCACGATGGGTTTCTCCAACGAAGATCACTTGGCAATTCGGACAACTGGAGGAGCTGGACCTTTCCAGAACCGAGGTGGCAGACATCACTCCGCTCGCCGCCTGTGTACCAGTCCTCATGAACCTATCCCTTTGTCGCTGTGATGTAAGAAACAACTTCGTGCTGCGCGCAGCACGACGGTTTGAGAAGTTAAGCCTGAAGTCAACGAGTGTCACCGATTTTTCGATGCCCCCCTCGGTCGACTGAAGGTTACAAATAACGCTGTGCGTCGGACGTTCAGCGTGCGACTTCTTTGCTTCTGCACCTCCCAACAGATCTCATGCACGTTTCCCTGTCTGCCGTTGCCGGAAAGCGGAGTGGTAAAAATATTTTTATTGTTTATTCGTTTCCGATTCTTCTGCCTATGCACATCAACATCATCTTTAAGCGTTATCGCGCTGTGTTTTGCTTTCCTGCAAGGACGGAAAACACGGTCAGCCTTGAACAGGATCGGCTACGATGGACAGCAGGCCGCGCAATTTAGTTGTCGGGTTGCAACTCCTTTTTTTTTGATTCGTTGCTTTCTATGCTTGTTGTTCTTTTTAATCTTACCATAATTTGTTCGGATGCTTTCTGACCACCGACTCTCTTCTCTGATGTCCTCAGCCTGTGAAGGATCGTGGTGAGAGTGATCGTACTGGCTGTGGGCAGCAACGACGTTCTCTGTGCGCGCCGCTTCACTGATGAAGCTTACTCCTTTTTGAGATTCATTCACAGATACTTGAACGGACGCCATCAGCAGATTAGAGTCGCTGCACTTGTTTTAAGACCCTTCTTTATCGCACTACGTAAAGAATTGATATATTTTCTCCTTCCCTTGGGTCGCCGTATTCAAACGACGCAAATAACTCTTTCAGTTGTTTCATTTGGCCAAACCCTTGCATTTTTCTTGTTTCCTGTTCTGTTTTTTCCCCGTCTTCCTACTGCAGAAAGTGGATACTTTTAGGACCACCGAATACTATTATCGTTAAGAAGCACTAATGAAGCCTTCTCGCAAGGCTTTTCATTTTTTTTTCTTTTCAACCATTTCAAAACAAGTTTAAATCGCACATGCTCTTCAAGCGAAATCTTTCTCTTTCTCTTCTTAAAAATCTTCTTCTTTTCAGCGTCCAACGAATGTCGCTTCGTCATTTAGCAGGATCGCATCTTTGCTTATGTTTCAAGGCACATCAATATAAATATGTTCTCTTTTTTCTCTCTCGTTGTTAAAGCGATGTGTCTTTGCTTTCGTTTATTGCTCCGTCGGTGACCCGAGTGGGCCACGCGGAAAGCGCAAACACCTCAAAGAGAGAACCGAAGCTTTTCCAGACGAGCTCAATCGAATTGTCTGGCCAGAACGCGACAAGCGCTGTACTGTTGGCACGTAAAAGCTGGTCCGCCAGGTGCTTCAAAGTAACTCCAGATAGCGCTGCTGTTTACTGCCCTGTTGACAGGGGTCGCTCTCTCTGTGTTCTATCGCGTTGCCCAACTGCAGCTGATGGCCGCTGTCTTGAGGAAGAGCGGCTTCGTTTCAATTTCGCCAGTGCCCATACAAGCTTCCCGTGCGGACGATCTTGGACAGCGCGGGGTTTTGCTTTCTGGCCGGGGCATCTTTGCCTGCTCTCCTTTTCTCTGCGGAGACTCACTCTTCTTCGTGTCATTTTCCTTTTCCGCGACCTGCCTTTACTGACTGCGGCGTCTCTTCTTCCGTCCTCTTACCTCTGCCTCAACCATGCTGTGTTGCTTTGCCTACGAAGGAAATACGGTGAAGAGCCGATGTGGTCAAACAAGACTGCTCGTCACTCTTCCCTTCTCTAGAACGCTGCACCTTTTTGGACCAAAGATGTTGTTGGTCACTTGACACGCGCAAATGCAGCTCTGTCTCACACCTCTCAAGGCAACGTGCGTGCGGCGCCGTCGTGTCTGAACGCTGATTCCCTTGTGCAAATACTGAGGTGTATTTCTCGTGCCTCGATCTTCCGCGAATTCGACACGATGACTGCTGTACGTACGCAAGAGAAGATGAGCGTAAAGACACTCACACCATTCCAATCGGTGAGGGTGGCGAGCTGCGCGCAGTTGGGCAAAATCCAACTAGCTTCTCCAGTCAAAGCGACTGCGCGGACGAGGAAGAAGAGGGAGCTGCCGCATACTCGCTGAGGTGGGTGAGTCGGTGGGGACTGCTGCTGGTGCTCGTAGTTGTCAATACCTGCAGCGATGCGCTGGCACACCGCAAGGAGAGGTTGAGAGAGGCCGAATGATGGAGCTGCGTTCGACGGCCAATGCAGCATCTTTGACAGCCTGACAGCTACCCAACTTGGACTACAGTCAATGGCGGACTTGCTGAAGTGTGCGAGGGCAACCCCACACGCCTGGTGCTTCCCGCACAACCGTGTATGGCAGGAATGGCCGTCAGGGCCCACCACCCCGCGTGGGAAGGACGCGAACCGGCGGAGGTCGACGCTCCTCCGAACCGCGGCGACGCAGCGGGAAGCACTTCATTGGGCTGCGCCTCGTGAGCGGCCTCCGAGGACTCCACGACGTACCGCAAAGCGGGATCCCCACGCCGCGCCCGCTGCGACAGAACCTCCTTCGCCTAAACGTGGCGACTCCCAAAGTTGGTGAAGCTCGTCCCACGCGGCAGCAGGGAACTGCACCGACTCACTTTCGTTGGTGCCTTTCACGGCACTGTGGTCTTCTTGACTGACCGACCCACGACGACGACGACGTTGAATGCTGGTGGCGTGTCGCACAGCGCGTGCAGTAGGCGAACGTGCCACCTCCGCTGCCGCTGCCTCCTCTGAGCCGCCGCCTTGCGTTTACTTTACAAGGAGAGCCGCCGACCCGGCCCTGTGCCCCGTGTGCTGCGAGTGCTGCGTGCATCGAGACCATCTCCAAGGCCAATTCGTACGCGACTACAGGGTCCCGTGCCCGGCGGAGCTCATCGCGCTTCTTACTCGGGCACTTCACGCGTCGCCGCCCAGCTTATGCTGCCGCCGTCCGCGGTGCACCTTCTTTACGACGAGCCAGCTGGTCCTCTGTCAGCGGCGCATGCTGCGTCGGGGCCCGCT